AAGAACATGCAGACCAAGGATAACAATCAATAAGTATAAAACAACCCCCCAAATTTTCTTTTATACCTCAGAAAATATGAATATACTTTCTTTCTAAATGTAAAAAAAAAAAAACACAAAAAACCCACTTTGAAATAGCTTTATAAGGTATCTGGGAAAAACTTGATAATGCCAGATTGGTACAAGGAGAGGATCACCCAGTAGAATTTTAGATTTTAGTATAAGGAGGACTTTGAGTTCATGCCAATGGGGATAGGGAGTTCTGTCTACTTTAGGAAAGTGAGTTTCAAAAGGAGAGACCATTACATTGAAAAGGTTATGTGACAAAGAAGAGGGTTGGGCTGCAGACTATTACCACCATCTTTAGAAGCTCAGAGAAGTTTGATTTCCTTCCCTGTGGTCTCTTAACAGCATTCCCTTGGACTGGTTAAGTCTTGACCACAGAAGCTTAACTCTGTCGGTCTGGCCTTATTTACCGCCTGACAGAAATGCAGCGGAAGAGGCAAAATGCCTTTATTTCTCTCAGAGAAAAAGGAAAAAAAAAAAAAGAGAGCCAAATTTAGGGATAGAACCCAAAGTTATGGCCTAGCAGTCCCTTTCCACAGAAGATTTTTATGTCATTTGCATGTCCTCTGTCAGTATTTATCCAACAGGTTAATATTCCCCAGAACGCAGACATGGCAGCCCGGTGAGCTGTAAGGACAATGTCAGGAGGTTAACGGGCAGTCCTGGATGGAGAGGCGTGCCTGCTCTCCTCACTTCGCAGAGATGCCCAGCGAGCGGTTCATGCACATGCATGTAGCGTGTTTATCATGTAAAGCTTGTTCCGCAAGTACCACTTTACACTGATAGAGATGAACATGTAATAAACAAAGGAAATGCATGCAGGGTGGTAGGAAAGAGAAATACTGTACCAATTGGCAAGGGGCATCCAGCCCATCCAGGCCAGGCTGGCCTGGCTCCCCTTTTTCCCCCTTAACGCCACGGAATCCCTGTTTGTAAAGATTAACTCACAATGTTACTAACACAAGAAATCACTTACGCACAAATTCTGCTCAAGAAATAACTACGATACCAAACCGCTGGGAGAGGAGCAACTCTGAAGGACAAAGTAACATGGGCTGAAGCTGGTTGAAGAGCCCGACCTAGCCCCGGAGTCGGGCTTCCCTGGGACACTGATTTCTCTTTGGCCTGGTGTGGGAGAGCACCAACTCCCCTTCAGACTCTGCAGTCACGTCCAGCTGCAGGTCAGTATCGGAGTGTTAAGAAGCCAAGCACAGCTGGCGGCCAGAGATGGGGCGTGGTTTATCCCGGGAAAGTCCGGGATAGATGCGTGTGGTCCCTCCCAAGTCCCTGTGCAACAGCCCGCAGCCAGAGCCCCTGCTGTTACGGGTCCCTCCAGCGTGCTCTTCTCCCAGTGTATTTCTCCACACGCGCTATCTGGAGACAGAGTTCCAGGAGTCAGACATACCAACGGGCAAGGTGCATCTAATCCAGGAGCACCCTGTTCTCCTTTCTCCCCTTTAGGCCCCTTTTTGCCTTTCTTTCCCTTTTCCCCCTGTGGATATAAGAGTTTCAATAAAAGATGGGTTTTATTTGGAGCGGGGGGAATAATGGCGATTCAAAAATGGTTTAGCCAATAAACGTCTGGAAGGGCATTTACCACTGTTTTCCGGTTTAGGTAAGGCATGATATTATAAAAGATAACTTAGATTTTCAGAGTGACAGTGGCTTCTGGGCAGTGATAGGTGGGATTTTACTTAAGAGGCTCAACAGGACGAAAAAAGATTTAAAAGGCCGACACATCAAGGGCTGACTTAGACCCAGCCGCCACAGTCTTGGCGAATGAGCTGTTTCCGCCTTAGATCTGGTGAGGATGACGGATACCAACTGTATGGGAGGCAGCCAGTGGTCGGTCAAATCCAGAGGAATAGTGAAAACCTTACCCAGTTTTCAATACCTTGTCAGCTTACTTTTTTCTAACCCTGTAACAGATGAAAGCTACGCTGAGCCAGACGAAAAGGACAGAATATTAATAGCTTCTATCTTTTGGAAATGTATCCAATTTTATAACATTTTTGGTAGCTCTCATTAAAAAAAATTCAGTTAATTGAAATATGCTTCTGTGTTTTTTTTTTAACATTTTTTAGGAAACTAAAAGCAAATATTTTCTTTATTAAGTCAGGTAAAGAAATTTTAAAAGTGCTAATACTTCTCAGAAATGCCAGTTGGAGAAATAGACTTATTTATAAATCCAGGGATATTCTTTAATTCACCCTTACAGATTTCATGCCAGGTGTTCACAATGGTAAATGGATTTCCAGGTTACTCACAATGTAACGAAAGCCAAAAAAAAAAAAAAAGTTCTGTTCAAGAGAGGAAAAGCAGTTTGGACTCAGTTTAGCTAACACTAAAAATGAGATAGGCAGGATAATTACGTAGTGGGAATGTAGCCATGGAAATTAGTATTTAGGAATCATGGTAAAGGTTGTGGAAATCTGCATGGATCATGGGAATGGAGGAATTAAGGAAAGGAGGCAAAAGGAGGAGAAGGAAGGAATGCACCTCAGCTGTTTCTTATTAACATAAATATCTCTGCATATTTATAGACAGGAAGTTGGTGCTGTACAGAATACGAAATACTGTGCAATACATATTTAAATTAGTGTATTCATTCCACACTCAGGAAGGCAGTTACAATAAAAGTGAATAATTTCAGAAGCGAAACAACATGAATATTCAAATACATATACATAAGATATATATGAGATAAGCATCCAAATTAACACATTCATTCTGACTGTGTGAGTGAAAGCTCCTCATTTATCTCCTGTGTGCCAAAAAGATTGCATCAGAAGGCTCAGAATCAAAAACACTTGGGTTTCTTGAATACTGGGGAAAGAGAGAAATTCTGTGTGGTTTATTAATCATGATCAAAGACAAAGACCTGAGAATCCAGGGTGACATGAGAGCAGGTGTGATAGGAAGTAAGTGAGGAGGGGCGGTTGGGACTAAATTGCTCACTCATGCAAGATCCGTCAACATTCTCAGCAAATAACTTCAGTGTCATGACATAAAATTGATTTAAACTTGTTTGGGTGAGCTCTTCTCTCCCAGGAGACAGTGGACTCACATAGGTGAGACAGGTGTGTTCGGTATTGATAATTTAGAATTCAATTCATTATTTGGTAAATCAACTGAAATTAGTCACTCCGTAGAAAAGTGTTGTTATATGAATGTTGACTCAGGTTATAGGAAGCATTTTTCAGTAATATGTTAGCAGACTTCAAGCTTTATGGAAAACAGACACTATTATATGAAGAATAATGAATCAGTGTTATTATGAACCAACCTCATTTTCTAATAGTCAGTGATTCCCTATGCAACACAAAAGCATCGGCCCTAGTGCGTATGAGCACATGAGGGCTCTTGTTAATTTTTATCTTCCATGTCAAAGAATGATATACATAAAGTGTTCACATTTGGATCTAATTTTCCTAAATATAAAACTTCTAATCATGGAATCTGAAATATGGAGATATTTTTGTATGAGTGATTAACATTATTCTGAAGATTAACTTTTTAGCTTTGTGTTTCCATCAGTTATAATACTGGTAATTTCATCTTTGTTTGAAAGAGCATTAAAATGAGCATCCCCATAATGGTGACATACTTCTGAGTGAATAAGATTATAGACTCCTACAACCCATTAAAAAAATATAAAATAAATGTCTATAATCTTTAAAGCACCCCCACCTTGGGCTAAAAGCTTACACGTACAATTTGTCTCAAATCAAAACATGTGTATTTTACAGTTAGAATTTATAATTTGGAATAAAAAGGCTTTTTTTAATGTTTCACATTCTTTGTGAAACGGGGACAGTAACAGCACCAATCTCGGGGTGGTGGGGGGGGGGGGGGCTATGAGGATGAAAAGACTTAGCTTATGTAAAGCTTTTGGGGAAACATGTAGTAAGTGTTCAATAAAGGTGATGATGTTGATAATGATGATGATAGTGTTTTTACATAACTGGGGACAGAAGCTTTCTTACCAATGGGAAGCCAGGTAATGTCTAAAGTCTAAGGAACACACAGCAGGGTTAATATCCTTCTTTCTTTGACAATTCTAATTCGGCCTTGCTTTTCAACAGCAATTGCCTTCACGGTTAAAAGGAATTTATAGGTTTTGAAAACTGTGTTGTTAAGCACAGCAGGAGGGCATAAATGAACCTGAGAAACAGAACTGGTGTCAATTTGAAGTGGGAAGATCCAATTTCAGCCACTTTTACTTGTTTTGCTGTGTCTCATGTAAACAACGAGTCTCCAAGGACCCAAGCAAAGGGGAGAGGAAAGGAAGAAATTATTTTAAAAATTCGTAATCCAAATTTTGCTTTCAGGCAAAAAAAACACAACAATTTTTCTGGCATTGGCTGCTATATACCTGCGGCCGGTGGTCCCGAGACAGAACCTGAACGCCAGCCTCATAAAATACATGGAAATCTTCATTTAAAAATATCTCCAGCATCAAAAGTGGAAGGTCCTAGTCCCTGATAAACTCACTGGGGTTTATCAGTCACACTGCTTGCCCTCCGTTTTCCGATCAAATAGTTGGGATACAGTACACACCTTCTATGTCTCTGCTGGGAATGCTGTGCCTGAAAATGAGAGGGTGGCTTTACAGGGTTAGATGAGCTCTGCCAGAAGACCTTTGCAGATTTGCGCTATTTAATTTTACTTTAATGTAATAAATGCTTTTTTATTTCACTTTTGAGAATCCCTGGACATTACATCTTTCAACTAATTGGTGTCAGGTAAGCCTGGCAATATTCTTCTATGCTAGACCATGCCCTTATTTCCAGCACTGGAACCTGTGAAGACCTAGTTTTTTTAGAACAGGCGTCACTGTGTTTTTGGAGCACAGGATGGAGAACAATTAGATACATGAAAGAATCGCATAGGTTGAACAGCACACAGCAAGAGAAAAATCAAACAGGCACATGCTAGAATGGAGAGGTCACCTTTTCTCCCTTTTCTCCCACATCACCCTTCTCGCCTCGTGGACCAGGGAAGCCCTAGACGATAAAAAGCAAACCAAAAAGATCGACTGATGTAACTGTGGTAAAATCACATTGAAAGAAAAACATAAGATTCCATGCTCCTGAACACAATATGAAGAAAAATGGCACAACCAAGATTCTCAAAACTTAGTTAAAGTAGCACTTAGGAGTAATAGTTGTGTAACATCTCAGTTATCTATGTGAAACACATTTCTTGCTTTTTCTCCTACAATTTATGTAGTGGAAAGTGTATCAGGATCCTACTCTGAATCTGAGCTAGGACACTGACTTATGTGGGCTTGGGCAAATCACTTACCTCACAGCATTTTATGCTTGCCCATAACAGGTGCTCAATAAAAAGTTAACTATTATTACTTTTGCTATTATCATTCTTCACATAATAAGGCTGCCATTGTATTCACACAATACAGTGATCATTTCAAGAGGCCTTTGTTTTTGACATTCTCTATTTTTTATAGAATTATGTTATTATAAAATATATAGACTCTTCATGCTAAAAGGAAAAAATATTGCACAGCAGCTTTGAGAATGAACATACTATACCATTCCCGGAGGGTGGCACGTGAAAGATACTTCAATTTTATGCATATTTTTAAATAAGTGGTTCAACTGCTGGTGTTCAAGGTGTCCCTAATTTGGGAAAGTATTTTGAAGTGCCATTATCAACTGTTGGTTATTAACTTTATACCGATTATGTGTTTTGCTTTCCTGTTTATCTCATGCAGACACTAGTGGTATATTTTCTACCGCGATCTATACACACAGCAATATACGCTGTATGCTTAACTATGTGCCCAGAAAGAAAAAAGTATTCTTGCTGTTATTGATGATGGAGACCATCCGCATCTATTGTAATAGGACGATGTTCATTGTACATGTATTACTTACATCAAGACCAGGCTCTCCATCTTTCCCCTGCCAAAGAACCATAGTAGCTACATTAGTGTTCCTAAGTTTCATGAATAGGTTACTGTTATTGTTTTATTTAAGCCTGCCTGGACATGCAACTACTAGTATTAGAACAACTACTTCAGAAATGGGAAAGAGAGTCTCTATTGATTAGTAATATAAATTTCTTTCACCGAATCAAGTGAAGTGACCGTTAATGCTGGAGTTACGGATCATGAAAAATTTTTTTATTATAGATTAGCTTACACAGCCTGCTATTGTGCTGAAGTTTAATGCCTGGCATCCAACTGACAATCCAGGAATAAGTTGAAAGCATAAGTACCATTTAGTTGATTTTAAAAACATAGCAGCGCTAATAAAATACAAAAATCAATGCTGCTTCAACTTGATCAATTAATACTTGTCTCACAAATGAGTAAAGAAAGGGAAAACTCTTGTTAAATATAGTTTAATTTGGCTAGATGTGTATCTTGTCTATAAATATTGAGAGTGTGTCACAATTTTTTTAAATTAACATATAATGTATTATTAGCTCCAGGGGTATAGGTCTGTGAATCTCCAGGTTTACACACTTCACAGCACTCACCATAGCACATGAGAGTGTGTCACAATTCAAAAACAGTTTTGAAGTAAGCTTTGTCAATAAATGATCCCCAGACGCAAAGGAGTCAGACTATTGTGCAAGGATTGATAATTTCGCCCCTAGGGTGCAGATTATTGGGGCCATGGTCTTATTATGTCACACAAGGGATCCATCCAAAGTTACTGGGAAGTTGCTTTAATTTCGACAATGAGATTTTGAAATCTATTTCAAAATCAGCCTCTCTCTCAGCCAGCGCTAATCCTCACTTAAGTTTATTACTTTGGTTCACAAAAACTGTCAGGTATAAAGCATGTGGTAGGTACATAGGGATTAAAAAACCTTAATACACTACGTTTCTATTATAGTCTGACCCTACCCTATTGAATGACTTATAATTACCCCAAAGCTAATGTTCTGAAGCACGCCTGCACTCTCAATTTGAAGACTGTATAACCGAGACTTTCCGGAGACAGGCCACTACCAACATTCTACGTTCTAAAGCTGTCGTGTCACTGCAGCAAGTTAGAAAAGTCAGAAACCTCAAGGTCATTGCAAACATCAATGTGAGAAATCACTTCTATTAGCAAGATTAGTTTTAGTAAGTAACCTGTGAGAACAGATACAGTCTGAAGAAAGTCATCTGGAATAAAACTTCCATGCCCACACAGGGAGCGTGTTTTCTGACAGTGGGGATCCTGTCAGAATTCAGGTTAATTCTGTTTATCTTATGGACAATCTTGCTTTCAGGTTAGTTCTGTTTATCTTATGGACAATCTCTGATCTTCTCAAGCTCACAAAGTGTGTGTGTGTGTGTGTGTGTGTGTGTGTTTGTGTGTGTGTGTGTGAGTGGGAAAATAGATGTGACTATGACCCGTGAAGGACATGATGTTGTGGAGGGTCAGTGGATGGGTCTTTGCTCCTCTAACGGGATTAGTCTGCCCCACCAGGGAAGGGTTAACCGTGCCGGTGTCACGTCATCTACACATGCTGACGGTGGAGACGGAGAGGCAGAACTCACAGGCAGACCATAGGGTCCTCTGGGTCCGGGTTCTCCCATAGCTCCTTTTTCACCCTAAAATAAAAGCCATAAAGTTCAAATCATATAAAATGCCTATATTCACACACTTTCCCTAACGTCCTGTGTATAAAAGCCTCCTTGTGAGGTACCATTCTATTAAGATTCTGACTACACAGGCTCTTCTGGGGTCTCAGTCCGCTCTGTGGTAAAGGAACACATATTTGCATATTTTACCAAATTACCTCTGAAAGAAGGGCAGTAAGTAAGAATGCAGCAGCCAAGTTGCACCAAGGACTTGCATATTCTAGGGTGCTGTACTTGGGTTTCTTTGGCATTCGTGGGAAACATTTGTCACTCATTATTTTAAGTTACTACATTTTTAAAATAGAAGAATAAAATGTCTTTTTTTTTTCCTCTCAAATATTTTCCTAGGGCGCCCTGGCCCTTTACCGAGATGTATTTTGCTTTAGAGCCTCCCACACCAGGAGACACAGGCGAGTTTTATTCTCCATTGAGCTCACTAGAATAGGCACACTGGGGGCCAGGACCTGTGACTTGGCTCCCTCCCCCATCCATATGGATGACGAGAGTGTCCGGTGCATCAGGAAATATTTGTTGAATTAATCAAGTCAAAAAAGTACAATCTGGTACATGCTTTGTTTCCTTTCTCAAAGAGAGTTTAAAAACTTGTATGCCTTCTTCTAAATGCCTGAGAAGGTAGGTATATATTATTTTCATTCCTTGCTCTCCACGTGCCTATTTAAATACTCTTGCCCCAGCTCTAACAATATATGTGATAATGATGATCTTGAAGGCTTATAAAGAATAACATAGACTAGAGGTCATCCTAGGAATATGAAATAATTATAATAAAGAGATGTTCTGCATTTCAAGTTGCATTTTCTTCTGCTGTCATCTCCAAAATTAAAGAGTATGTCAGGATTTAGCAAGCTAACTTCAGGAGTAATGGAGATATTTATATGAGTGGCTGAAAAGAAAACGTTACCTTCTTTTATCACACCCTTAAAGTTTATAAGGTTAGCAAATCTTTTTCCTCGCTAAAATGCGAACTTCTGCTGGTAGCTGTGTGTGGAGATCCAAGTATTATGCTGTGTGTCTCTGTGTGAGATTCCTATGTGAGCAAATTTCAAGTCACTATTCACATTCTTCTTTCTTTCTTTCTTTTTTTAATATTTATTTATTTATTTATTTATTTGTTTATTTAAAAGCCAGAGATCACAAGTAGGCAGAGAGGCAGGCAGAGCGAGAGAGTGGAGGAAGCAGGCTGTCTGCCAAGCAGAGAGCCCGATGCGGGGCTCGATCCCAGGACCCTGGGATCATGACCTGAGCCGAAGGCAGAGGCTTTAACCTACTGAGCCACCCAGGCGCCCCCACATTCTTCTTTCTAAACTTAGGGGTTGGTGGAAGTAATCAGCATTGTCACCTAGAGGTACATATCATGTGGAGAGAGTACTGAAAAGAAATACGATAAAAGCTCATTGAACTTCTACTCACCATTACTTTATGTTTAATATTGAAAGATCAGCAATCCTATTCAGTAAGGTGGCCAGGCTTTGAAATGAAACAGATTTCAATTTGAATTCCAATTTGATACTTACTGACTCTGTGGTCTTAGGTAACTTTCTTAACTTTTCTGCGCCTGAGTTTCACTGGCTGTTAAATAAGAATAATACATATTCTACAAGAATTTTTCTGAAGGTTAAATGTGATTGTAAAATATGAAATGGTATGCCACCAAATAATATGTCCCATAAATAGTAGCTATTGTCATTAATATACAATCAGAGGTCTTGTTTTTAAAGAAAAGGGTTTGGCAACCCATTCAAGTTAGATTTCTTTCAGTTGTATCTGGCAGTGTGATTTATGATGTTTTAAAGATTTTATTTGTTTACTTATTTTAAAGAGAGAGAGAGAGAGAGTGCACAGAGAGAGGGGAAGAGGGAAAGAATCTCAAGCAGGTTCCAAGCTGAGCACAGAGCCCAGCGTGGGGCTCAATCTCACAACGCTGAAACCGAGTCAGACGCTCATCCCGCTGAGCCACCCAGGTGCCCCTATTTATGATTTTTTAAATGGTGATGGTGTATATGTGTTCATGTGCAAGTGAGTGGGTGGTATGGAGGGGCTGGGGGTTAAAAGGAAAGTTCACATCACCTGGAGTAGGTCTACTTGGAAAAATCTCCACAGATTTTTTTTGATATACCAATCCCTTCTCCTTCCTCTGACTGAGTACTCTCAGTTTATTGTGTTTTTAAAATGCATATACCATGGCTTGTTTGAATTAAACTGTCAGTAAAACATTTGTCTGCTGGATCTCCTCTTACAGAAATGCTCACCCCAAAAAACTGCTTTAAGGTAATGACAATTCCACTGCACTTGCCAGTGAATGCTTCAGAAGCGGACACATGCTCTGATTCTGGCCAGTGAGGTGCTGGGGAAGTATGAGGGGAAGCGATGGGGAAGGTTTGCTCGCTGCTAAGGAAGAGACACGGGAGGAAATGATGTCTCTTGGTTCTCTGCGGATGCCTCACTGGAGGGAAGGTTTGTAGGGACTGTGACCAGCTTGCTTGTGATCAGAAGACCAAGCCAGCTTGTGGAAAGGGAACAGAAGCAAAGCCAAGAGTCTCTCCTTTCAATATTTTGTTACATAAAACAACAAATTTCTCTACTGCTTAAGCCATTTTGAGTTGCGATTCTGTCACTTAGAGTCAAATGTATCTTAATCGTCCTAGCTTGAAAAATTTGATTTGAATATGAAAAATATAAAGTGAAATAGGGATTTACAATTCCTCTCCTGGATTAAATAATTGTTAAAAACTTTGAACCTCTCAAATTTAACACCCTTCACAGAGCTCCTAAGCATTACAAGGCCCGATGAAGAAATCAGCTCAAGGCAGGGAGACCAACAGGGCTCACGCTGTCACTCATGTATTTGACATTTCTGAATGACACTGTCTGTGGAAGGCCTGGTTTCTTTTAGGCCCATCTCATTTCTTTCAGGCTCTTTAATTTGCACGTCTACACTGAGGAATTCTTCCAGAATGGATTCCTGATTCCTCCCTCTTAAAACTGCAAACTTTTCCAGGAGAGTCTAAATAGCACCTCAGTCAATTAACTTCAAGAATTGCACTCATGTAGCACTTTGGGTGAGGGGCACTTGGAGAGTCCTGACACATGATCTGGTTAAGATAGTTAACGTGCTGAGTAAATACAACTGTAACACTTTACACTGCACACCATTTGACTTGAACTATGTCTTCAAAAATTCTTAGCGATTTCATTTGCTCTGCTGGTTAATTCTGCCCCAGCGCCGAGACCTGATACTCTTGTGACACTGGGGAGCTATCGGAAGTAGCAGCTGATTTACCAAACGGTAAACCCTCTTGGGCGCCCAGGGCATCCTGCCAAAAGACTACTTGAGATTTGCTGCTCCATTTTTAGTACGTGGGCTGGATCTCTTGATACAATGCTTGAATGCGTCAGCAGCATGAGGCTCTCCGCTTACAAATATTTTTAATTAAGATGGTCTTCATAAGTCAGTTTGATTTTAGAGATAAGACAATTGCAGATTCCGGTGATTATTCTGTGAGGACTCACCTCTTTCTAGAAGCATTCTTGGATAAAGCCAGACTTCCTCATCGTTGTACGTACAGTCTGTACCACTTGAATTCACTTTGGTTATCTGGCTATTTCTTGCTGATTATTTTTTTTTCCTGCTGCATTTAGATTGTAAACTACGCTAGGTCGGAGAAAAGAGCTGCTTCCTTTACAGTACTGAGTAAATCCATATAGTGTATTAGTAAGAGGTTATGGGATGACGAATCAATTTTAATGGCAGTACTCAACTCACGGCATCAAATTAGCAAAACAGACTACACAAATGGGAGGAGAGTGCTTCCATTTCACACTAGGAGTACACTGTGTTTTCTAGATCATAAAATGTAACAAATATTTACTGAATGAATGAATTCATTTTATAGAACACCGAATTAGGGAATTGGGATGGAGGCCAAAGAAATCACTCTGTGGCCCTCTATTTTTTTAAGCAAATTACCCCAGACTGAAGAAACTCTATCTAGTTTTAAAAGACCGCAGCCTGCACAATGAATCATCCCAACATTTCGAAGCCCTTACTCTTAGGATACTTTCTTTACAGCCTCTCCCGGATGGTGGGGAAATTGATGACACAATTCTGCTCAGACACAGAAAAAAACTTCCAAGTTTCCCAAAGTGGAGAAAAGAAAAAGTGGGAGAAAAACAGAGAAAGAGGGGAGAAAAGTTCCAGACAGATGACCAGCTGCTGAGGCTCCAATGTATTTTTTGGTGTAGGTATTCATCTTCTGTTCTGAAGGGTTTTTTTTTTCTTTTTTCTTTTCTCCCAAGGGTATGGAAACAGGGCCTAGCAATAGGGAGGTTAGTGAAAGGTTTTTGTTCTATAGTGCACTGAAATTATTTCCTTATGGCTAAATAAGGCAGCCTATTCTTTTGCTTAAAAAATAAAATAAAATAAAATAAATAAATAAATAAATAAAAGAGCACGTGTAACTGTGGAGAAGAATACTTAGGTTTGGTAATTTCCTTTAAAAAAAAAGTTGTAACTTACTCTGAATGAATACAGTAGCTTTATATAAAAAATTATCAACAAAATATGAAGTCCTGGAGATTTTAGCCCCATGGACTTCAACTTCCTGGATTAAGGCCAAATGAAAATACCTTCCTTCTGGGTTAAAAAGGAATGGTCTGAGCTATTTATTTGAGCTATGTAGATGTATGCATGATTTTTGAGTAAGGCAGCCACATTCTATTTTAATACCCCGTTGTTCTCTCAGTGTGAGAACTCTGATTAGGACTTAAGATGGCATATTTTCATTTAATGTTTTAGACGGTCCTTTATTTCTTCTGGGAAATGAACAGTTCAGTTTAACTAACACAGAAGAGCCACACTGGGTTTTCTTTAGGTCACCGTTCAATAACCTCAGAAGCAACTTACTCTTTCTCCTTTGGGACCTGCGGGGCCATGGGGTCCCATAGGGCCATCTGTACCCTAAAAAAAAAAAGATAAAAATAATATGAGACATATCCCAAGGGCCCTAAGGAAATCAGTTATAACTCATCCTGGACTTTTCCTGGGTGAATGATGCTTTAGAACGCCAGTAAGATGACTCGTCTCCTTTCAAAGAGCTTTATGTCTGATTCAGGCCAGTGATTTTCAAGAAACGCGTGCAAAAACGATGAGTTACATAACTACGTATTTCAACGAAGGGCACACACGAGAAGCTGGAAGTCATATTTAATTATATACTTCCTCCCTGACTTCACAGAACATCTTCAGGAGAGAAATGGGTTGTTTCCCCTCCTACCACTTCTCCAAGTCCATCCTCCACCCCCTGTCACCCCCAAGCTCCTGGACCACGAAGCCTTGTTCTCAGCTGGTTAAGAGGCTCGAACAGTTACACAAGGGGAAAAAAATATGAAATAAATGAGAACAGTGTTGAACTGTTCAAACCAAACTTTCTTTGGCTCTGCGGGGAGCAGCAGGGGGCCTTAGAGGAAAGGAGTTACTCTCCCAGGGTCTGCGGCGGCTTACAAGGCACAAAGCCGGCGGCCGGCTGATTTAATGGCATAATTGCCCTCTGGCCTCCTGGGTTCAGGATTAGGATTTCTGTCTCAGATTGAATGGATACAGGAACACTAAGTCCAGTGAAAACAATGACTGCCTGAAGCACGTTTTTAGAATTGAAGAGCTTGGAATTTCCTTTTAATTCTTAGACTTGTAGCAAGGACTTCAAGTAATTTGCTCATTTTCAGGAAGACTGCACCTCTTTGCAAAGAATTTGTTGCAATATTTGCAAATGTAGGAACTAGTCCAGCACAGGTTTATAAAATAGTATTCTTATTTGTGTTCTACTGTTCTTTTTTCTTCTATCAGGGCTTTGCGATATGAAATCATTTAGGGCTTCGACTCATTCTGATGTTGGGGAATTCCCATCATCTTATCTAATCTTTTCCTTACTGCCTGAACTCGAAGTTCCATCTTCAGAAGACTTCTAAATACTGATTATCTGTGGCTGAAATTTAAGAAACAGAGCAGTTAAGAACCAAAGAAAAGAGACAAAATGACAGAAAACAGGTCATTTTGATGAACCGAGATTTGAAAGTTAGTGTCAAGGAAGAAGTTACCTTTTTAATATGGACAGAAACATAAAAGGAAGAACAAGTTCAACTGAATTCACATTATTTTGATCTCTTCAGAGGAGCCTGCCCACGGAATTATAGGAAATGTCCATTAGTTCTCGAAAAATTTGTCTGGGATTCTAAGACCGCGAGGCTAATCAGACTGGTCATTCTTGCCACCTAGCAAGTGGTCCAGCCTGGAACTCGGGCTTCCGAAGGCTGTCCTGCAGTTTAAAAGCTGTGAGTGGGTCAGAGCTGCAGACTCTGCTCTGCCCACCTTTCCCTTTTGTACCACATCTTTGTACACTTTCTCCTTTCACTCCAGTCTATGTCCCCCTCATCACGTGATGGGAGTACCTGGGGCAAAAGAGTCTGTCCCGAAGCACAAATTCATAGCCACACAACAGGTTGGAGCAAGATGAGGTACTGACTCACCCGGGATCCTGGCTTTCCGTCTAAGCCAGATGCTCCCTGTGTATTTGGTTGGTAGCAGGTTTGGTGGGTATAACACGAAGGACAAGAACAGAGATTAGTATGAGGTACTGATGAACAAATGTAACGCTTCAAACAACATCATACACAGTCATGGGGTTCTGGGATGACTGTCACATTGCTACAAATTGTTAGTTTATAAAAACAAAACAAAACAAAACATGTGACGATAAACACCCCGCAGATGATGGCATTTTCATGACATTTCCATTCAAAAAATTCTTATTTAGAAATAATGAGGTTTATAAAGAGGGCTTTAAAGTAGTTTCTGGTAACATTCACAGACCGCTAATTTCCATTTGATACACATTTTCTAAGGACTGTACTGTCGATAATGAACTTCTTAAATTTCGAGAAAATATAATGGCCAATATTCTAAAAAAGGGCTCATTATAATAATCAATCAGAGTTAGCGTTTCTGAAAGGAATAAGAAGGTTCCAGTTTTTCTTGTTAAAACAGAACTTATGAAAAACAAATGCAGAACTTCACCATGCCAAAATGACTGAAAATTGTCTCGAAGAATTGTTACATGAACAATTCTCATTGTTTTCTGGGTTTTCTTACTTTGCTCACATTAATTACCACTAGAGGGACTTCTAGGAACAGGAAAAAGCTGGAAAAAATTTCATGAGTCCAAACAAAAAATAACTGTCCTAAACAAAATTGTTCCTCAATTCAGTTAAAAAAACCATTGATTGCATCAAAGTCTGGAGGCGAGATAATTTAAAAATATGTTATTCTCAGGCAATGCATACTTTTTTTTTTTTTAACCTTGAACTCCAAGCTATGCATAGTATATGATTAAAATATGACATTTTCAATGCTTGTTTCAAGAATAAGCACAATTACTTCTATGAATATGTCTTTTGTATCTCAAAACTCAAATACTGATTTATAGTCCTTTAAAAATATTGATTAAATAAAGGAGTATTTAAGAAAGATGATACACTAGTCCTATAAATTTTCTTGGCAAGGTTGAAGAACTAGGTTCCCACTTTATGCTTCAGATACAGTTAATAATAAAAAATGGAAGAAAAAATCTATTCCAGCTGCAAACTCTACCAAAAATGCTATACTATATATACTTGGATATTTTTAGGTTTTTGTTTTACAATTTCTTCTATATAGTTCTATTGTGAGTCAGACTATATTGCAAAATGCATCTTAAGTTGGCAATGATTAAAATTTTTTAAAAAACCTGTGTTGTTGTTTAATGCTAACATATGTAGAGCTTTTGGCTAATAACTGCATAGAAATTATCACTAGCTCTAAATTTGAAATTAAGGCAAACTTTAAAGAAATAAGATCGAGGGTTTAATAAAACAAATCCAAACTTTCTTTTGTCCTTTGATACTTTGTTCGGAGTCACCATTATTATAACATTTGAAAACAAATAGGGAGATGGTAAAATTTTGTACTGATAGTATAACATCATATTTGCCTGGAATAAGAGAATTAATATATTATTATATTATATATACATTATATATAACTAATATATTATAGAAGTTTTGTGCCTCTAGTCCATGGTCTAATTGGTGTGATTGAACCTATACTCTTAATACATCTTGTATCATTCATTCATAAACGAGCACATTTTGAACATCTACTATGTGCCAGATCTGTGTAAGGCACTGGCTATCTAGAACACTTCAGAACTTCAAGTACCAAAATGTTTTAATCTTTTAAAATATGTGAATAAATTATTTTCTACCAATTTTATGTCTTACTTTAATAATATAATCTATAATGTTCTTTACTGAATTTTATCTGCATTCACTGAATAGTCAGCATGTTAATACCCTGAAACTAAAACCTTATATTTTACTATCATTTTTAAAAATCTCTTTTTAGTTGTGAGAAGAAGACTGGCATAAAATGCATGGAAGATGAAAATTCCCTTTTCACTAAAAATAAAAATCTCAAAAAAAATCTCAAAAAAATTGTCTCGAAGCTACTGCAAAATACTTCTTCCATCCTGTCCACTGTTGCCAAAAGAACCATATAAGAGGGCATTTTCAAAACAAACAACACAAAACATTTAGACTATGATATGATTGATTAATGTAAGGAGCCACAGCACTGACCCACACCATCAGCAATGGCCAATTGCATACCTGCCACCCAACAGAGGGCTACAATTTTTGGTATCAAAAGAGAAAAAAAATTGAGGGAGGATTCTGACCTGCACTAAATTATTAAAACATTTGGGAGAAATTATGACATAATTAGCACAACGCTTTTTTTTTTTTTAAGGGCAAGGTGATGGGAGAAGAATCATCTGTCTTTAAAGAGGAAGGTTGGCATGTATGTAATTGAATGACAGAACACTAAGAGCATCGTTTGTCATTGGGTCTTCCTCTGACACGAGAGCAGTCCTCAAACAAAACTGGGCTGAGCTCTGCTCCAATAGAATACATTTTCCAATCGCAGAAATCTCAAATGTAAGATAGTCACCGAGTAAACCAGAGTTGTTACTTAGGGTAGAAAGAAAAGTCTGAGATTTGCACTGAAATGGAAAGTTTTCTTTACTTACTGGAAGACCAAGGGGTCCTCTGTCACCCTTTTGACCTGGTTCACCCTTCAATCCTTTAACACCATTTAACCCTGGTTCACCCTAAATGCAAAAGCAAATGCCAATTTTGGTTGCTATCACGGGTGTTTCAACTGCTGAGAGAAGAGAGCCAGTCTCCGAAATGGTTGCAGATTCCAGTTCTAGGTAACAGCAGAGTCAAGCTAGACTTGTCTTGCATCCGTCCAAAATTCATTTCAGACATTTTAAAAAATTAATAAACTGAAATTGACAAATAACATTCTAGGAAGCAAAACTCCTGAGCAAGCGTACTCCTTCTGACTGAAACGCGTACGCCTGAGTTCCAGTTTTCAGTTCTACGTCAGAGAACCTGGTGTTATGCTACCTTGTTCTCACCAAGCAAATCAAAGACAGAGTGGAGGATGCCGAAGGAAGCTCAGTAGGAAAAAGCCACTCTGCTGGAATGAAAAACTGGAATATGCAGGACAGTGTTATATACAGATATTTTAAGCCTTTAAGCATTTTGCCCTGGGGAATGAGCTAAAAATGTAGCAGCTGATGTTTGAAGTAGTGCCATTTAGTGAGTCCTCATTCACTGACATTGCCAAGTCAGATCCCTACATGGATTAATTCACAGAATAGACAACTGATAGCCAATCCCAGAAGAGAATATGAAGACCACAGTGCTTACATGTAGTTTTACTGTTTGTCTATCCAATGTTAAAGTTAAAGAAGGATGGATTTTAACCTCAGGTGACATTACAAAAGTCATGGCGAGTGACAGTTTCTCCTGACTCTGATATTTAAAAACCTAAAAATACAGTATAACTATTTTCTATCAGCAGCACCATTTTAGAAATAAGAGTTCTGACCTGCTCACTTGTCAACTTTTAAGTAAAGGCATTAATTTCATCACAAAAATCTGGAAAGATTTGTGAAAGGAAGATGCAGTCTCCAATGCCCTATAGAGACTTACTGGGTAGGAGCGGGAGTGGGGAGAGAACGTGCTTACATGGCAGGAGGAATTACTAACTTGGGCAGTATTTTCTCCATTTGTCTGATTGATTTAAGTCAGTGTGATGTTTGTTAAACATTGAGTCCAAGGCCCCACTTAGCATTTAAACTTCCAAAGAGGTCACAAAGTAATGAACACATTGACATGACCTATTGGATTCTGGGGATTCGGAAGGTAGGATGTTTGAACTATAGGGAGTTCAAATGTGCTGTGGTGGGTAAAGTGTGATCCTGGGACTGTCCCAGAGCCAAAGTCAATGTCAGGTTAAGGCCAAGGCTCTAGGAGTCAGATTTAGTTAACTGGTCTCAACTTGAGGTTGATGGCTTTGCATGTATGTGGACTTTTAGCTAGAGGTCTTGGGATGATGACTAGGCAGAGCTGCCTTGGTAGGCCACAAAATTCTGTGGTGAGGAATCAGACATTGACATGAGTGGGCATTAACCAAAAAAGTGAATTTATACACAATCAAATGTAGAGACAGAAAGACCAAATTCCAACTCTGGACTTAAGTTCTAGTTCCAGATCAGTCATTTAATTAGCAGTGTAACTCAGGGCAAACAATGTAAATTTCATGGGCCCATAGTTTATCATCTGTAAAATCAAGGAATAAGCACAGGTAATCTACAAGGTCTTTTCAACTTTATAATTTTGTGAAATTTATGATTTAAATGGTACCTTGAAATCCAACGAGAAGCCCAGAGTAACTACTGATTTAGTCCAGAGTGGGAAAAGAGACCCAGAGAGGTTTAGATAACTACCAAGACCTCAAAGATGATAGATGGGCTCTCTCTTCTGACCCCCAGAAAACAATGCCCTTACCCCAAACTATAACCCATACTTCTGAGACACTGTCACTCACTGGTCTTACCAGAAGATAGGGTGGTCTAGAAGAATAAAGAGGCATGAACTCTTTCCATTCTTGAGTGAGTCACCTGTCTGACCCCAAAAATGAAACTTAGGTTTCATTTCAGACCAATACTTCTACACTCCTAAAGTTTGGTGGGCCAGGAGGAGCCCCTAGAGGAGAGGGTGGACTGTCTCTAAGCTTTCTGATTTCTAGCTCTTGCATTTATGTGTTCCCCTACCCCTCACCATTTAAATGCACCAACTCACTACTGAGGAGCTTTCAAGAGTGCTTAAACATTCTCTCATGCTTTTTCCCCCCTAAATGCTTAAATTTCGAACAAAGCATCAAATCGGAAGACACTAACAACTGACATTTACTGGGTATTCATCGACAATTGCATCAGATATTTTGCTAAGTATCTTACAAATATGCCTCATTAAATTATCACAACACTAAGAGGAAAATTGCCTAGTTCAGTGAGTGAAGAGAGGATAAGTAGTCTGCTTAAGGTGACACAGACGGTCAGTGGCAAAACTGAAATTAGAACATAGGTACTAATTACATAGGCTCCCTGAAGGAAGGAACCTTTCTTTCAGGGCTCTTCTTAATCCTCCAAAATGTTCTCTTGGTCTACACAAAAGCAACGAACAGGTGCAAACCATCTTTCCAACATAAACTGCACTAATTCTGACAAGGAGGGATATTCTCTATTGTTCTCTTGTTAATCCAGAGTATAGAGTACATTGTAAGTGATGTAATCTTCTCTTGACTAGAGCACACCTGATATACCCCACCCCATTCTAAACCAGTGATCTCTGGGGGAGTACAAAATTAAGATGTTGGGTAGTCAAAGCATTTAGCTACAGTGCTGTTATATGACAAACAAGGAGTATCAGTAACATCTGAATCTGCAACTAATGAGACATCATAAGAAAGAGCATCTGGACTAGTCTGAGAATCTCATCAGGTCCATTTCTAAAGGGTTGATTTTGAGTATATTATGATTAGTAACTTAAGAAACCTATAGTGTCATGGAAAAAGGCAAAATGAGGAATAATTCATCTGCAGGTGATATCACTTAAATTTGTTTTAAGTCATTCTGCGTTGTGAGATTTAAACATCTGGATACTTAAAGGCTTAAAGATTATCAACATTACTTGACAGATAAATAAGACAGGACAGACATGCTTCCGTCATGCTTCTCCATGATTAACAAGGAAATAGAAATCAAATAATCAAGGGATTTTTTGGATTACCTTTGGTCCAGGAAGTCCATGGGGTCCCTGAAAAAGAAAAACACAGATTTTAATTAAGAATTGATTCACTATTTCCTAGCAGAAGTGATTATTGTATAGAGTAACCAAAGAGATGTAAAACAAGAATCCTCCTGTTTGAGCTATAGCTAGAGGCAGGCCAGTGGATGCTAATACATAGTGAAAGTTCCTTCTAGCTCTTGAATTGTTCTGTAATTGGAAATTCATTAGCAGCAATTCTTTCTGCTAAATACCCGTGAGAGGGAGGGAGAAATCTGCTAGGGTTAGATGGAAGAAAAAAAATTTTAAATGTATTGTGAACCTACACTATTCCTAGTTCTCAAATCCACATTTTTATAAAATCTAGGTGGAAAAATGTGAAACACGTTATAAGTTTATATGGAATAGAGGTGGGTTTTAAAATACAGAAATTTGCCAAAGAAAAGTTCCAGATTTTAAGTACCAGTGAATAGGAGACCTTTGAATTATTGAGTTCTCTAGACCCAAAAGGAATCTAAAAGAAGAAGGAATGAGGAGATGACAGTCAAGTTTGGAACTCTGTTACAATTTAATTAAAATTAATTTAAGACTAAGGAAAGGATTCTAATACAGATGCACTAAGAATTATTAGTTAGAATGCATTTGTTCTTACAAAGATGAATTCTTCAAGGCTCTCATAACTGTTGTTTACCAATGGAAAGAAGTTATACTGCATACATGAATCAGGGCTTCCCCCCTGTATTTTGTGGAAAATCTAACTATAGAGACTAATTTCTAACCTAAATTACCTAAACTGTACTGTGGATTGCTTCACACTTCTCAAGTGATTTAAATGAACTCTTTGGAGAGAGGAGTATTTAAATACCCAACAGCAAAATCATACAACAGTGTGAAAAAGATTTTTATCATGCAATATACAGATATTTGTTACATATGTCTACTGAGAAAAATATTTTCCTTTTAGGTTAGTGATGGATAAGCATTTTCAGGAAATGGCTGCTACTTTATCAAGTAGTCTTATTTTAGTAATGGTATAAAATCCCTTTAAGCTAATTAAGTTTATATGAACAGGAAATAGCATTTTAAAATTTAATTTTCTAACTTAAAATGGAGGGAGTATTAAAAAAGCCCAAAGTGTGCCATTTGCTTAATTCTTAATGAACTGTTTAGTTTTAAGAAAATAAGGTTAATTATAACTATTTTGAGGTATGAAATGGAAATGGCAGTTGGTAAGAAATAGATGATTGGGTCTATGGCTACGCTTTGTGGCTTAGATCATTTCAGTGACATTCTTTCTTAGAGCACAATAGGAGGGAAGAGTGACCCATGGTTTATTTAATCTGTATGATAGAAGACATGGGGTTTATTGAGAAACCGTAGAGATGAATGTGACCTTAGAGCCTGCCTAACTTGTTAGAGTCCTGCCCCCATCAATGGCATTTAAAGCATGCTACATTCTACATTCTAGCCTTAACACTAGTGCCGTTAAGTGGACATTTTAAAAGAATTACACTGGTTTAATGGCTGCCTTCAGCACCAGACGTGAGTTCGATGAGGGCATGGCCATTGACTTCATTGGTCATTGAGGGATAGTTGTGGTGAACACTGGATCCACCAGAGCACCATAAAGATGAAAAGAGAAACAAGCAACAATACATGTCATCTGTGGAAGTGGGCGCCAATTTTTACCTTATTATTTTATAAATGTTCCTATTAAACATCTCATTAAAGGATTTCAACCAAGGTTGGTTAGACACATTCATGAATGGCTACAATTATTAAACTTGTTATACTACTAATGGCCTAAACACTGGCTGGTTAAGATGATTTTTTGATGTTCATACTGCAGGTTGGAGTAAAGCTTGTTAAATCTATCTTCAAGTTTCCTGTCACAAAGCTACTCTATCTCTTCTCAAGAGATGTGTTTGGGATAGTGAAAGACAACACTATAAAGTCAGTAACTCTCAATGCACGTTGTATTTTCTGTCCATTCCACAGAGAGTAGCACAAAATACAAACTGGCTATTTTGAGGGATGTGTTCATGTTTTTTTTCTAGTAGCATGCTTGTAAATAAAATAAATAAATACATTTTGAAGAGAAGAAAGGCTTACCATGGGGCCTGGTGGGCCATGGGGGCCTGGTGGGCCTGGTGGGCCTATGATCTGTATGTCCAAAACATAAACATGGATTTGGTTACTTCATTTAGATAAGGCAGTTTGGCTCGAATCTTAGGCTGGGGTTCTGCTAAGGCCATTAGTAGTTGCTGTGGAACAATACTAGAAGAAGTGATGCAATTGAGTCTTTATGTTTAGAAATTCATTAATGAGAATTAAAAAAAAAAAAAACACTAAAAAATACAGTTGTTTTACAAAAGCCGGGATAAATTTAAAGTACATTAAATGAAAAGACAACAACTGCTTACCAAGAAATGCTATAATGCCACAACCACTATTAAACTCTCAAATTATTTCACCGAATAGCAACAGAGCTCTGGAGGAAACAAAAAAGTATGTTCTGTATTCACAAATCTCTACCCAAAAGCTTGATGGGAAAACCATTAATTTTCTCCTTAGGATTAGAGGGTCCCCTAAAAAATCTGCCTTTATCTCAAATCTCTGAGATACTTTGTCTCTCATTATACAAGGCCGACAGATACACTCTCTACAGTTTGACAAACTAAGAGGTTCATGGTCTTTTTACTGTTAATAAGCCATCTGGCACAGGTCGAACTGGGCAAATAATAGGCCTGTTTCAGAAGTTCAACCGCCAAGGACTTACAGAAGGACCCTGAGGACCTGGCAATCCGGAGTCTCCTTTTTCTCCTTTCATTCCATTGGCACCCTACAAAAAACCAGTGAGAGTTGAGCCAGTAAACTTTTCCCAAAGTGTAAGAAACATCTGAATTTTCTCCCCAGACCCACCATTCTTTTGCAATTTTTATAATATTATACACATCACATATAAAAGAAGGATTTATCCCTCTGCATTTTAGTCTCAAACAGCAAGCCTCTCCAAATCTCTAGGACTGTGGGTGATATGTGAAATAAAATATAAAGTAAATAAAAACTAGGTTAGGCTTGATAGGTTAAACTTATACATTGTTAAATATACCAGATTATAAATGTCATATTTTTTATGGTGGTGCTCACTTTAAATAGCAAGTTTTTTAACTTGGTTTTCATTGACATTTATTTATATACTTCCTTGTTTTAAAATAGATCTAGGGCAGTGCAATTTTCTACATTTTTTTCTATTTTGCCTTCCAAATTCTTAGTAAAAATTATAGGGTAAAACTATAAAAACACCATTCCACACACACAAAGAGAGCACTTTCAAGAATAACTTCTTTCTAAATTGTCTTATGTTTTTTAGCTTGTTAATTTTAATTATTACAGTTTATTTTAAAATGATCAGTTACCATCATTTTACACATACCAAATTCAAGTGATAACTATATATATTTTACTATCTTTTGATGAAAATAATTCAGGAAAACATGACAGTTTATTTTATAATTCATTTGGTTAGATGCTTTAAAACTTGTTTTAGTGGCCCAGTTGGAGAATAAACCAACAATACCTCAAATATGTAAAAGTAAAAATATTACTTTTTTATACAATATTAACCACTAGATGAGAGTGCAGCTAATTATATAACTCCTTTCTGATTAATTTATCTTGATATGAACACACCCTAAAAAGTATAAACATACCGGTAATCCAGGAAGTCCGATTCCTCCTTTTTCACCTGGCATACCTGGGTCCCCCATGTCTCCCTTAGAGCCTTTAAGTCCCTACAAATGATATGGTTGCATGTAAGAATCATATTAACCCTTGATAGTAACATTCTAGGGCAAACAGAATTCCAGATCAGTTTTGTGCGCGGGTGGTCCTATCCGGAGAGGATTCTGATTTTCACTGTTAGGTAGAGTTATTTCTTAGAGCAACCTTCTACACTGAGTCAATACTATTTCCTCATGTAATGAAAGGGGTTAAATTCTACTACTTAGCTCATTTAATCACAAACTTAGGTGTTTACATAATTTCTCCTGATTCTATATTTTTTTCCTGGCAGCTAATTTGATACCACTGGTCCTGAAAACAATTTAAGGGATTGAATTCTCAGCAGTACAATATACATTTTGAACCAGGACTAATGTTATAATAACAAGAGGTTCAGATAAATTTCTCCTATCTCTACCCACGATACTCTCCTCCCCCTCTTAAAAGCAAGTGGAAGCTCTGGTCACCATCAGTTTCAAGGGTTCGATATAGAGAAAGGTAAATAATGTAGGCACCAATCATTAGGTGCCTAGTCATCAACTAAGCTTAGAATCACTTTAATTGTTCCACAGTGTTCTTATTTTATTCTCAAACACCCCATGAGGTGATCCATGATGTTATTTTTATTCTTTTACAGTGAGAAAATAAATAAATATATTTTTTGAGTGCTAGCAAATCTCAATTTTGTAATAATACTGAAGTTAATTTATATTGTTAAGCATTTTTATCCAAGGAGCTTCACTACCGTACGACCACATGGCCCATTCTTGAGCAGGGATGATCATAGTTCTGATAGTCAAGGATCCCTGGCTGCCCAAACCTGTTCAACTTTTCCATACTACAAACTACTTAGGGACAGGAACATGTCTTTTCTTGACTTATACCTATAGCACTTAGTTCAGAATCACTTGCTAGGTGGGTGGGTAGGCGCCCGAATGGGTAGATGGATCTTACTGGTTAATCAGCACCTGGCTGGTTTTAGGAATCTAGTGATGGAGAGTAGCAGGGCAGCCAATCTCTGCTATTGGACTTAAAAGCCTATAGAAAAAAAAAAAAAAACCCCAACTATTGTATATGTAGGGACCATGTAATATGTTATTCTGCATGATAAATTAATTATTTTTAATAACTAACATTGGGAAAGGTAATACAACTAGATTTTTTAAAAAGATTTATTTATTTATTTTGAGAGAGAGAGAGAGACAGAGAGAGTGTATGAATGGGAGGGGTATGGCAGGGGGTGGGGGGGGCAGAGAAAATCCCAAGCAGACTCCCAGCTGAGTGCAGAGCTCAGTGCAAGGCTCTATCTTAGGACCCTAAAATCATGACTTGAGCTGAAAACAAGAGCAAGATGTTTAACCAACTGTGCCCCCCAGGTGCCCCAGGACAACCAGATTTTTAAATTCTAATATGATTTCTGATTAATAATAGCAAATCATCTAAAGCCTCTTACTTTTCAAATTATCACATTTATTTAATGTGACATTAGAGGATTTGCAACATACCACTCTGATATTAAAATAACTTTTCTCTTAAACTTAATTTATCTAATACTATCTCCTGAGGAGCATATTTTGCCAACTGTATCAAGAATCTTTTTGATTTCTTATGATCTTCTTGATGTCAGCCATCTCTCGTGTAAATAATGGAAGCCCAGAAAACATCAAATGTCTTGAAGCTAACCATTGTGATTTGACTCTGAATTCCCCATAATGTTCACATTATCCTAGTCAGATTCTTTTTGGTCAGAGGTAAACCACAGTTTCTAGGCCAAATTCAGCCCAGGGATTATTTTTGCACAGACTGAATCTTTGAAAAAAATTTAAGGTGTGTTCAGGTAAAAAACAAACGTGACAAAGACTCTGTGTGACCTGCAAAGCCTGAAACATTTACTGTCTGTCCTTTACAGAAAAAGTTTGCCAACCTCTGTGTTGAGGGAAACCCTTGGAGATACTGCCATTTTCTGTGAAGGTACAAACGCCCCACCTGTTTCTGTTTTTTTTTCTAACGATCTTGAAATTTAGGTGTAACCTTTATTTGGGAAAAAAATCTTGTCAAAATAACACATATGAGCAATATCTAATTTTGTGGAAACTTTGACCGACTGATTTTACTCTTGAATGATTTGTATTTATTGACAAAATTAGCCTACTCTTACTAAATTAGTAATGATCTTATAAGTCTAATAAAAATTTACTGAAGTGTCACTGGTAGATTGATAAGGAGTATTAAGACAAAACTAAAATGTCATACCACTTACATGTTTCTGCAAAGAAAACTAATGTCTAATTTAAAAGCAATTGCTTTTTAAAGTTAATATAATCTCTACAACAGATGGTAAAAAAATAGAGAGGATATCATATATCAACACTCATGTCTTTTTGGCTCCAATCTATAATAAAAGTGGTGATCAGTTATGATGTTTGAATGACAGTATATATCTTTGAAAATTACCTGCTCTCCATCAACTCCTGGGATTCCTGGAGATCCTGGCTCTCCCTGTTAAGAGAAATAGTGATGGCTTGCTTCCATTTATCATTGGTAAATAGAAGTCATGTTAGCTGGCGACAGTACAATTTGACTTTCAGCATATGAATCGTAACCCAAGAACGGTTTGTTATATCATACACATATCAAAACTAAGTGAAGTAACATTTTCTTGAAGATTATATGTAACAATAGTCATGTAGCTCAGATCCAATTTTTTATTTTTTGCCCCAAGTGAGATGTAGGCTAAAGGAAAAAATGGTGAAAGAAAACTGATAGAGATCGTTTAGTGGTTGACCATATTCTATAACAAAAACCTATATGCCTTAGTTAATTTTTTCCTCCCTAAAAAATCTGTATTATTTCTCTTCATTTTCCAACTTCAGAAAAAAGCAAAAACATGACAGCTGACTTAAGAACAGAATGCAAAGCCATAAGTTTATAATATTTTAGCAGATAACATTTGAACAACGGATACAGGTTCATGATTATGAATGTGGTATTTCCAGACAGAATCAATCAGATAACATCTCAATGCACATAAAATTACTTTTGGATTGATTCAATTACCTATACTATGCCAGGAATAAATTAAAGTTTTCTATTCATATGATTTCTTAGAAACCTTGACAAACCCAAAAATCTATTTATTTTTTCTTAACTGAAGATGTCCCATTTAAAACAAATGTAAACAATGTGCTAGATATTTATTCCAACAACAAATCTCCAGCCATTTTTCACTTGGAAATGTACTGAACAAATTTTTTGAACACTTTAGATCAACGCATCACTTCTGTAAATCCCACTATATTGAAATTGTTAGACAGTCTTTCCCCGGTAAAAACGTTAAGAGCTATCAGCCATAGAATGAAATTTGAGCTTTCCAAACATTTAATGAAAGCCTGACAAACAAATGTGGGGAAAAAAAAAAAAAAAAAAAAAGGAAAAGCCTTTCTTTACTCCCAGATTCCCGTTCTTTGTGGGAGCAGCAAAGTTTATTTTGCCACAAACAAGTCTGCTGAGGTTGGATGCACCTGGCCAAGACCTAGTTTCAGGCTGAATACTTGTCAGCACTCTGCGTCCAGTAATGATTGTTTTGTTATGCTTTTACCTTCAAAATGTGACTCGTGAGTGTTTAAAAGAAAACATAACTCATGACTTATGAATTTATCTTTCACTCATCAAATGTAGTTGGTAAAGAGTTACTTGATGTGTAAGAAGTCAACCGATCCTGGTTTGACAAGGGAAAGAGAAACACTAACTGAATAGGTTTCCATTCAGTCTGAGGTTGTGAGTCCCCAGGGCAAATGGGTTCTGTATTTGACTCAGGCTGCATTTGCTGACTCTTGGTCATAGGCATATCTCATCTCAGATATCCCAACCTTCTCAAGGAAAGATCACGGAAAGCTTGAAAGACTGTATCTGTCAGTCCAAGAGCTCAGTTATGAGATCACTGTGTTTTGTGTGGGGTGGGGCAAGGTAATAGCATAGTGGGAAGTCTGGCAGGACTGAGAGGTAAGGGAGGCTCACTACTCCTCTCCCACTGCCCACTTGCCATGACATTCATTTAGCCAGTTTCTTTCTATCCCAGTTTCAGCTCAAAGTCATTCTTGATTCCTAAGACTGAGAGTAACCTTCCTATATGCGCATCCATAACGTGTACTCTTCATCAAAGTATTTACTCTATTGATTAATAATTGTGCCTTTACTTGCCTATCTCCTGTTCTAAACTGTAAGCTCCTTATTGAAACCCTTACCATATCCAAGTATCTCTGTTAGATATTAGTCCTTATCATAGAGTAGAGGCTCAAAAATTACTTACTGAATAACAATTAAAATGAATAGTAATTGGATTATAAAACAAGGAGGGAGGTACAGGTTTTACCACTCCATATATCCTTCATGGCTGGGTGGTTCTTTTTGTATCTTTAGAACAAGGGATGGATTCCCTTTGGATTTCTGTAGATCCTTTGGGCTTTATTTATTTTTTTTTTTTAAAGATTTTATTTATTTGACAGAGAGAGAGATCACAAGCAGAGAGAGAGAGAGGAGGAAGCAGGCTCCCTGCCTAGCAGAGAGCCTGATGTGGGACTTGATCCCAGGACCCTGAGATCATGACCTGAGCTGAAGGCAGAGGCTTTAACCCACTGAGCCACCCAGGCGCCTCTCCTTTGGGCTTTAAAGAAGGGTAAAGTCCTAGAAGCTTTTAGGGTGTGTTTAGCACTGGGGCAATTTGGGTTCTGGAGACTTAGTCAAGTGAGGAGAAGGACAAAGATCCTTAGATCCTAGTTGACTCTACACAGATGAAAAAACGATCTGTAGATTTCCTTTGTGGCTGTCTAATCCAGCTCACCAAAATATTAGAGTAGGAAATCCAGGCTGACTTGCTCACCAGGAACAAACAATTGGAGCATTTTTGTGTTACATTTCTTAGGGACCAGAATGTGATAGAGAAATAGAAAGTTTAAAAATCCCAAATCTTACATTAATGTTTTACATGAGATCTGTTTGAAATTAGGCTCCGTGTTCTAAATGTATCGTATATGGGTAAGGACCTCAGCACTATTTTACTTTATACTCCTTTTTATAATAGAAAAATAGTTTTCTATGTGCTAGCTTTCTGTTTCTAAGCATCTTAAAAGAAAAGGATACAAAAGCTGATGTGTGTGTCTGTGTAGGTATGTGTGTGTATGTGTATGATAGACTTAGCAAATAAACTGCTTTAAAAGGTACCAACAAAAGATGGATTTCAAAACTACTTGAATCTCCTACAGAGCTCCAATGATGAAAGTTATATTTCAACAAACATAGCTCAGTTTTCAAAAGCTAGAGACACTGGTCATGTGTTAATTGCTCAAATGTGGCTAAACAAATCTAAGTTTAAGTTTGGAGGGATAAAGCGAACACCACTAATAAATTTGAGATATAATCAAGAAATTCTAGGTTCCTGCTATTCATAAGTGGTGTGTTTCATTAGTTAAGATTTAAATGGCAGAATGTTTGAATAAGTATAATAGGATTCCTTATAAGAAATGACTCAAAAATGATTCCTCTAATTGTCATCTGTGAATACATCTTGCTCAATCTTCTCTTGTTCTTATTATTACAAACGAATTGAAGAGAAAAATCTTTTTTGGTGTTAGAGTAAATTTTCCTTAGTGGTTCTTTTACTTTTATAATTTCTGTAAAACTTGTTTTTCCCTTGTTTAATATTCTGTTTTTCTTAGTATCTTCCCTCTAAATTTAATGCTATTCTTATTTCTCTCTCTTCTTTACTAATTGTCCTTTTTTTTCCCCCCAATCTTGCTTTCTTAAGCCCAGACCTCAAAGTTTATTCTTAGCTCTCTTAAGCAATATTGCTGATCTCAGCTCCTTCAGCATTTTGGAAGAATGATTTTTCAAAGATACATAAACTTAAGGTGGGATTCTCTATACCATACATGGTAAATGGAAACAAGTAAAATAAAGAATAACCTTTGGCCCTTGTAGTCCTTGAGGTCCAGGTGGTCCAGGGGGGCCCTAAACCAAGAAAAGACAAAGTTTTAAAAAGTAGCAAGTATATGTATTACTATTTATGCTTTAAATAATAAGTACACTATATACTTCTTTTATTTCTGTCATAATCAAACATCTCTCAATCTTAATTTGCAATGAGGGCAAATTTCACCAGCTATGGAATTATAAAAATGATTTACTTATATGCAAAAATATCAATACATTTAGGTAAAATAACACTGAAGATGCTTTTGAGTTTACTTTCTAAGATAATGCAAAATTGCTGCTGTGTCCCACATTCATCTCCTTGGGTTGAGAAAGCTTACTGATGTTACCTGTGTTTCCAGACACCCGGCCTCCCCCACACATAAGGGACTTGATTCCCCAAACACTGAGGAACAAAGCTATATTATTATAAGGCCAAAGACTTTAAGAAAAGTAACAATAACTTCTCTTTTTTTGGTCTTTTTCACTACACAAACAAATGACTTAGTTGGGCAAATGTCATAAAAGGTTATTAATATAAGGAAGCATAATACTCAATATCAGACAAAAACAAGTGCTACATTAGTTCCATTACGACCAGCATGCATCAACACCAAATATGAAGTCACAGACCACAGAAATCATGCAACAGGAGTTACCGTGACAGTTAAGGTGGTAATCCTCTGTTGGGAAAATGCATTGACAAAGACAGAGTTACCTATTTTGTGTGCTAAAGTACAATAATACATTTACGAAATATTCAATTTTCTGAATACGTTCTGGCAAGCCTGATGTCCTGTAAGAGACTGACAAGATACTGAAAACATATTATCCTATCTTTAAATGAATATAGGATAGAAATAAAGATTTTTCAGGGAGCAGGGGTCAGATTGCCATTCATCACCTGATAAAGATTGTTTTTAAACGATTTTTAGATTTTTCTTTAAAAAAAATCTACGTGTTAAGAAAAAAGAAAATGTCAAAATTTTAATTCATTTGATTAAAAAAATTATGTAGTAAAACGGTGTACTGGAGAGCTTTGTCGGCATGACTGTGAACTGAGAAACTGCTATTTGCAAGAGTTCCATTCTAGAGCACTTTAGTTAAAGAAAAGGGAAATATCCAATTGTAGGTGTAAGTAATATTTTTTCTTTTTTAGATTTTAGCTTATTTATTGCATTTCAATTAGCTTTTTTGGGTGCCATGGCTAAAGACAGAAGGTGACATGGAATTCATCCAATTTCTTATTGTAAAGTACTACAGCACCACAACAAAATGTATTCTGTCGAAGGATGATTTTCCATATTTCATTTTGAATCCATGAATCATTTCTGCATTAATGTTTTCTAGTCTAAGTCTCATGCTGAAAGTTCTTTTTGTGTTGTGTGTGTGTGAGTGAGAGAGAGAAAGAGAGAGTGTGTGTGACCAGAGGGGTGGAGGGTGAGGAAGGGCAGAGGGAGAGGGAGAGAGAGAATCTCAAGCAGGCTCCAGAACCAGCAAGGAGCCCCGAGTGGGCCTCCATCTTACGATCCTGAGATCATGACCTGAGCTGAAATCAGAAGTTGGTCTTTCAACCAACTGAACCACCCAGGCACCACGCATGCTAAAAGTTCTATAGGGTCAATAACCACCTGATGTAGTCATAGAGGGAGCACACTTTCCATCAGCGACTCTGGTCACAGAAAAATGTTATCCAGTCACATGTAAGCTTGTGAATATCAGTTTAACACCATCCGTTTATTTTCCACTCTTCCATTCCAATTTCTGATTCAGGTTGCTGTTGTTGTTTATTATTATTGTCGTAAAAAATAATCTTAATATTACCGATCTTGCTTCACACACTTGGGTCTCTAGTGACATGACATCATCATTTCTTAGAAAACAATATATTTACGCATGTGTAGAAATGATTAAAGTCTGTATTCTATGATAATATCAGTCGTGGTCATTACAGCTTCATGGATAACACAGTAGGAAAAAAACCACCACCAGTGCTTCTAAGACAAAAGGCAAAGTGGTCACAAACTGGAGGCAAGTTTAAAAAAAATATACCAAGGCCCAGATTTTTATTCTATGGACTCCGGGAAACAAACTGAGGGTTTCAGAGGGGAGGGGGTTGGTGGGATGGGTGAGCCTGGTGACCGATATTAAGGAGGGCACGGATTGCATGGAGCACTGTTATATGCAAACAATGAATCATGGAACACGATATCAAAAATTAATGAAGTACTGTATGGTGACTAATATAATAATAAAAAAAAACTATCGTATTTGTGTAACACAAGGCACCACTTGCTTTATTCTTAAAGGATTCACCTAGAGCTTGAGTCAGGTTTACAGTCATGAGAAAGCTACTTCTTTGCTCCTATAAGTAGGTGAGTCATTTCTAAAAAAGGCTATTAGAATATTATAGAGTAGAAATAATTTCTTTATCACTGTCTTCCAATTATATATTATATTTTTAACTACAAAGCAGAATCATGAAAGCTTAGAAAGGGAAGAGAATTTACAATTTGAACTCTCTGAGGTTTTCTAAATGTAGGATATTTGAATTCATTTTCCACCTGGACACAAAACTAGTTTTGTCTTTTTTTAAGGATAACAACGTGTTTTATCATGAGTTGCCTAATAAGGGCATATTATTAGTGGTAACTGAACTATCTAACAGATGGAGTTTATGTCATCTTGTTAAATAACTGTATTTTGTGAGACCTAACAGTTACATAGGGTGGCTTTCATCCTGCTAATAATAAAAGAACAAATGACAAACCAAGCTTAACTTCTCAGCAACATAGTTTTTACCACCATCACCATCCTAAAGCACCCGTGTGCAGACACATGAGACATCCTGAAGATGTTGGCTCACTCTGGATTCCTTCTACCTGGTTCCTCTAAGTTAAACCTAGGTGAACTCAGCAGCATTCTCTTGAACTCCACCAATGACTGGAAAACCATAATTTTGGTAGTGATGGAGAAAGATGTGTTGTTCTCTATGAGGCACGATGTAAAATGGGAAGCATGAACTGGAGGAACTATAAACAGGTTGAAGCCCCCCAGGCTGTTTTGTGATTTATTCCCTGAGATCCTTATGTGAAACTCTTTAGAATTAAAGGCTAATTTCTTTCATTTCTCATAATGATGCAAGGTGAAAATCGCCCGTATTTACACTAAACAATACGTTTAAGTTATATGGCATTGAACATTTTTAAAAACTTGAGATAGGAAGTAGAAAGGTTTTATTGTTAATTTTAGAAACCTAAAAATCAAAATAAATGGCTTATGGCAGATGTTTATGTAAATAACAATTTTCAGTAGAGGCAATGGTAAAATTTTCTATTTCTATTGTGATGTTTTTAGAATTGTAATATACATCTATTTACTTATTTATTCTAGATTTTTGGGGGCAGATTTATTTTTAGAGGAGGCGATAATAAAATGAAATCTGTGGGGTGCGTGGGTGGCTCAGTTGGTTGAGTGGCTGACTCTTAATTTGGGCTCAGATCATGATCTCAGTGTTGTGAGACTGTGCCCTGAGTCTGGGCTCCGCACTCAGTGGGCAGTCTGCTTGAGATGCTCTTTCTCCCTCTCCTTCTGTCCCTCCCCCTGCTTGTGCACTCACTCTCTCTCTCTCTCTCTGAAATAAATAAATAAAATCTTTAACAAAAGTGAAATCAGCAAAATGCTAAATACCCATCACTGGCTAAGAATAGAAGAGAAAAATGTCTACTACCTCTTCTCAGGCTAATGGCTTAACTAATTTTTTAGGCCCTTGTTCTAGTAGAGTACTATATTAGGAAAACAAATAATTTTTAAAAAATAACTATAAGCTATTTACAAGCATAACACATAGTTGCCCTAACATCCCTATTGAAGCAATAAATCTTTAGGTTGAGATAAAAACATAAACTACTGGGGCGCCTGGGTGGCTCAGTGGGTTAAAGCCTCTGTCTTCAGCTCAGGTCATGATCCCAGGGTCCTGGGATCAAGCCCCGCATCGGGCTCTCTGCTTAGCAGGGAGCCTGCTTCCTCCCCTCTCTGTCTGTCTCTCTGCCTACTTGTGATCTCTGTCAAATAAATAAAATCTTAAAAAAAAAAAAATAAACTACTTGACCATGATGGATATTGACTGGTTTACTGTCATACAGAACTTGAGGTGGAACAAGAAACTGAGCACATACATCATTTCTTATCAAGACCTAGGTGTCAGTTTTTTAAAAAGTACTGTACGTTTATATATATCAGCCAAGAGTGTTCAGGAGCTCCAAAAAAGTGACCCTAAGCTTAATATTATATTTTATGGACTCTTAGGAAAAAAAACTATTCTACAACATCTTTACTTTACAAATAAGATCAATGAAGTATAGATACACTCATTGATTTCCTGAAAATGAGTCAGCTAGTTAATAGCGAAGGAGAGATCAAAACAGATTTCAGTTTTAGGCTGAGAGTAGCTTGCTTCATGTCTGGCTCTGTTCGTGAAAAGAATACTTTAGCCCTTACTGCTAACGTTTGAAAGGATCGAAAGGAAGAATCATCTGGGTGGCAGCAGTGCAATGTTGGATGGGATTTAGATAGATGAGGGAAAGGGAAGAAGAATGGGATCAGGCAAAAAAGGGTGATTTTTATTGATATGGTAAATATGACCACTCTTGGGGAAAATCTGTGCTGTGGAGAAATGGAAAATTCTATATAGGAAAGGCAGGATTAGAGAGCTTTGAAAGTCCGATGAAGGTCAGGCTAGATAGAGTAGGTAAGGGGGTCATTGGAGTTTCTGAACAGATTAGAGCCATCAAAAAAGTGACAGTTTAGGAAAATTAGTCTTAGAGTGATATGCAGGATGGGTTAGAAAGGGCACTAGGATTAGAAGAATTGGTCAAAGGCCTGTTGCAATGTTAGCCCTGAAACAAATAAGATATGGACCAAGCTGGGAATGCAGAGAGAATGAGGCAACCTTAGGAGGCACTTTGAGAAATGAAATGACCACATGTGGTGAGATGTAAAGGATGAAGGAGTAACAATAGTTGAAAATGACTCTAAAGTTTCTACCTCAAGACAGTCAAAGAATTACAGGATCACTAAAAGATAATGATTAGTTAAAAAAAAAGGAATCATTTGGGCGCCTGGGTGGCTCAGTGGGTTAAGCCGCTGCCTTCGGCTCAGGTCATGATCTCAGGGTCCTGGGATCAAGTCCCGCATCGGGCTCTCTGCTCAGCAGGGAGCCTGCTTCCCTCTCTCTCTCTGCCTGCCTCTCTGTCTACTTGTGATCTCTGTCTGTCAAATAAATAAATAAAATCTTTTAAAAAAAAAAAAGGAATCATTTGATTGGTGGGAAAAGTGACCAGTATAATTATGTGTGTTGGTAGGAATTGATAGGGCAATGGTGAATACCTAGTGGAAATATTCTTAGATAGCTGGAGGTACCCACAGCATGGACCCAGAGGTGAAAGATTTGGAAGCCACAACACAGAAGAACACAGAGAGAGTGACTGAACCATGAAAAGATCAGAGACTTGAGGATACCAAAAATTAGGGGATGACAGAGAAACTGGAAATACTAACAGAGAATGGATCTATCAAAGAAGAAAACTAGAAGAAATCAGAGTAGAGGATTAGAAAAACCAGAAAGAAAAAGTTTCAAAAACAAGGTGGTTTAGTAGAAATGTCACAGAAAATCAAGGGTGAGGAGAACAATAGGCTTGACCTAGAGGTCACTGATGGCCTTTTAAGAGAAGTTTTAACAGAATATTGATATAGGCTAAAATGGAGGAAGCCAAGCATAAAAAAAAAAAAAAAAGACTCTGAGAAATAAACTGAGGGTTTTGGAGGGGAGGGGATGGGGAGTTGGGTGAGCCTGGTGGTGGGTATTAGGGCACGTATTGCATGGACCACTGGGTGTGGTGCATAAGCAATGAATTCTGGAACACTTGAAAAAAAATAAATTAACATTTTAAAGAAAGGGATGAAGAGAAAGCAAAGATGATGGAGACAAGCTACATGGTCTATGGACTTTTACTCTATAGGTATTTCTCTATGGTAGTACATTATATTATGAATGGTAGCAGTAATAAGAAATACCTAAAGAGGACTTAGTATGTGCCAGACACTGCTTTAAGTGTATAATATGTATTTAGATATATATTTCTCATAACAACTCTTGAGACAGGTGCTACTATCTTCATTTTGCAGATGAGGACACTGAGGCACAGAGAAGTTAAATAACTTGCCCTCACCCATGCACTTAGTAAGCAAGAGATTGGCACCCAGGCAGCTCTGACTCTAAAGCCACAGGGCTCTTAATTGCTCTGCTAGGCTTGCTTTTGAAGCAAGGAGACAAAGTGGCAAAATAAGCACAAGGTTTAAACCAGATAAAACTAAACACTAAAGCATATCCAAAGACAGAAGGGAAAGAAAAGGAATGATGGAAATACGCTAAGAAATATGCTAAGAACACACACTGGGGCATGGAGAAGGGGATGCGCTCAGGAAGAAGGTGTGCTTTGAGCAAGTGGAGCCCTCTGGAATCGTGGAATGAGGGGCATGGGAGCTGATATTTACACATATTACACGGGTGTTCATTAGGGTCACTGTGTCAGGGTTGGCGACAGTCACTAACCTGCAAGGCTTCATGGAGATTGCCATTGTAGTCTATGATCTCGGTGGCTCCCTGATCTCCCTTTTGACCAGGTGGACCCTGTGAAGAAAACCAACCACAGGAAAATCATGGAAGTTAAGCTAGCCTGTACAGGGAACTGTGGCAGAAACAAAAATAGCAACATGCAGCTCTTTCTGACCAGCCGTTCTGTTGTAGGACTCAATTGCACTTCAGAGTAATTATCCTCAAATTTCGTCCTTATTGCAAAGAAGACAAACGCTTTTGGTGTCCTATAGATTAAAGATATGAAACTTGATTTTTTTAAAAAAGAGAGATAATTCAATCTCTGAAACTGCTTTCTGAAAATTATAAAATATAGGCTAATCTGATTTGACTTGCAACATTTTGTTGGCTTTAACAATACTTATTAAAGCAACCCCTAATCTCTTCTTATTCTTCTAACATCTAATCGATTGTTTCCTTATTAGAACACTGTTCTGTAGGAAATGCTTGGCTTGTTCAGTAGGAACAGAATTCCATTAAAATTAAACCAAATAGGGAACAGATATAAGATGTCTACCACAGTCATTACTTCTGCCACCGAATTTCCATTAGTCATGTCCTAATTCCCTGCCTGTCTTTAAAAAAGGCTTAGAAAATATGGGCTATTGCTTTCCTTATAATTGGCTTAATTGAAAAATGGAAAATTCTATTAGCTGGATGGTTATGGGCTTGCTATTGCTCAGTTAGCAGAGGGAAAGTAGAGAGAAAATGTTCTTTAGAGCTTTTCTTGTGAGCTTATTTTACGTGTTAGACTCTATACACTCATTGTTCCAGTTGACTCAAATAAAAAAAAAAAAAAGAAAAAGATAAAAGGGGAGCAGCAGAAATCATCAGTAGTCCACCTCCAGTGCTATTATTGGGTAATATTAGTCCAGGTGCCTTGTGAAAAGCCACATGGATATATGAGTTGAATCTGGGCTTGTAGGGGCCAAAAACTTAAATGAAAAATGTACTCACCCTTGGTCCCAGGGCTCCAGAGTCCCCTTTCTCTCCACGATCACCCTTGCCCCAGGGAAAAAAGAAAAGATTCAATTAGTAGTGGGGCCAATGGTCCAGAAATATCTCAAATCTAAGGATATATTTAAACTATGCAGAAGCACCTCTGATATGAACTTCTGACATGGAAATAACAGCTTGAAGAACAATAACCAGGGACATAGCAAATGCTTCCTTAAGATGCACTGTAAATCCCCCTTTCAGATGACAGAGTATCTTGGAATACAGAAACTCTCTTACTAGAGATTTTCAAAAGGAAGGCAAGTGGTTTCTATGATACCCAAAGTAAGCTTTTACCTCTCAGACTGAGCCATACTTTTGTTTTTATATGAAGAGATTTGGGGCAAAGGAAAACAGAGCCAATCACTGGGTTGTCTGTTTTCTGAGGGAAAAAAAAAAAAAAGAAAGGTGTGTAGAAAATCTGGATAGGGAAAGAATGGAGAGCTCAGTCTAGGGAGGTTTAGAAGGGAAAAGTGATCAGTGAGGCTGCTCTTTGATGATGATGAAGATCTAAGGAAAAGTCTAGAGATACAGGCCTTTTAACACTCAGAAGGTGCTGAAGTGGACAGAGCTAACCAGAGCAGGTTGGCAGGGCTGAAGGTCGGGGGGTAGGGGAAAACCAGCTTTGTTTTTAAAATGCAATACGTAAAATCACTAAAGTTCCATTCATGGTGTTATTACCCAACCTGGAGAGAAACCAGGAATGGCCCAAGCATCAAACCACACAGGCATCCCTCCAAGAGCACTCAAAATTCTCATAAGTCTCAAGAGAATCTTTGGAGAAGAGATTTGAACCTGTGTAGACTTGAAAGTTCTTTAAGACAGCCTTAAATTTGTCATATTCTTTTCCTAGGTGGAATTCAAAGCCTTTTAATATGTCTCTCTACATATTTCATAAAATGGATATGGACCAATGAAAGTAAGCAGGAAAAGGGTTTTTCATTTTTTTCTATCCACATTATACTAATAACATTGACCATAATAATTAAATTTGCTATGAATAGAGAATTAATGATTTCCACTCTCTGTTTTCCTCATTTTTTACCTATTTTTTTTCATGTTATTAGCTGATAACATCTTAAATAACATGATTTTGCTTACAGTATTAGATTATGGCAAATATTATAAAAAGCATGATGAAGGAAAGAATTTTAATAGGTGGTGAAATTTTAATGCCATGGAGGGAATCAGCTAACTTAAACGCAAAGTATAATTTGAACATTTATCACAAAGACTGCCAGGAAATAAATAAGATCATACCCTACATAATGTAAATTAAATAAAGTCTTTTTTTTCGCCCAAAGAAGCTATTCTCACGAAACAGGAAATACAACTTCTCTTAAATAGTAGTCTGAAACACAAGAACACACTAAAACAAGATAAAACAAATTAATTGTTTTGAGATAGTATCACAGGGATGAAAATATTGTGATCCCAGTGTGTGAGAATTTAAAACATGATTCTCTGTGGAAGAGGCAAAAGGCACAGCTCTTGAAGGTGTCATGTGACATTAAAATGGTTACTGACCTTTGACCCCTTTGGGCCTCTAGCTCCTGATTCACCTTGTTTGCCCTATTATGGAAGAATATGAAAATGGAAAAGAGAAATGACAGAGGAGATAAGAACAGAAAAAGGAAATTAGCAGTGACTCAGAATAATGAAGAAAAATGGAAACACTTTATTATAACTGTTTCAATATATGGCTCTATGTAATTTTGGATATCATAATACAAAGCTTAAGTAGTTATCACCATATCATTAGCTCATTCTCTGGTCTCGCCACCACCTTCATTCCATTATAATTCTGAAGACTGCCCACCCATCACTGGATGGGAAGAGTTCTGTGAATAATCCTCATTAGTCTCAACAGTGTTGGCATAAATTTCTTTTTCATCAAAGACTAAACAATTTCCTGTGTCTCCAGGATGGATTATTAGAATAAAGTGTTACCATATTAGTTTGCAGGAAGTTTAGAGGAATAAAGACTGAACAGTGAAATAAATCCCTAGCTCTGATATTTTCAGAGTGTTCTACACCTTCAAGTTACCACAGAAACTAACACATCACATATAAACATTTTTCTCAGTAAGTTTTAATACGCACTGAGTGACAACATGTTAATATGACTGCACCTTCCCCTTTACGTTTGGATGTGTTATTAGATTTGTTTACTGGACAGAACAGACTAGAAAAGTTGAATCGTAAAATTCCTTTCAAAAAGAACCAAACTCTGCATTTCAATAAATTATGATTTTTGCTGTTTTAATACCCGTTAAGGAACTATATTTTAGTTTCATGTTCTAAAGTAAGTAGGACACATTTCCAAACCAAAGAAAGCTATCTTCCAATGCAAGAATAACTGACCTTTGGTCCAGGGGCTCCAGGCTCCCCTCGCTCACCTCTTCCAGGAGGCCCTGTCTCCCCACGTTCACCCTGTCGCAAAATACAAAACAAGTAAATGGCAATTCCTCCTTCACCCCCGCCCCTGGGTTGGTCCCTATAGATTAACAAGTGAATTCAATAAAATGAAGGAAAGTGCAGAGTTACCACTTATTTACCACGTATCCTGCACTGTACTAATTTCAACATAGATTATTTCATTTAATAATCAAAACAATTATTCAGTGTTTGTATTATCATTTCTATTTTATACATAGGGAAATGGTTTGGTAATGCTTATCTGATATCTATGTTGGTAAATGGAAGACCTTTAAAGGGAATTGATAAGAGCATCATTATATTTCAAGACAGACATGGACACAGTTTTCATTCTGTGGCAACTTTTTAAGATCTGCCAGGGGGGAAGCATGGCCAAGTGGCTAAGTGTCAGGTTTTGTAATCCAACATCTTAGACGTTAATCTGGGCTCTGTTATTCACCAGTTCTATGTTTTGGGACAAATTAGTTAAGTTCTGAAAAAGTCAGTCTTCTCTGTAATGTGAAGAAAAGTATAAAGACAAAGTGCTCAGAATGGTGCAACATACATAGGTGTTACAGCTTTTGACTATTTTCATAGCTCTATGAAGAATGAACATGATCACTGCTCTCAAGGAGCTAATGATCTGGTTAGACAGACAAGATCCACATAAGCAATATAGTTCAGAATTAAGGAGTAATGTAAGGCTAACATGTGAGAGAAGAGGAAATCCCATAGGGTTTTGAATGGTCCAGATTGGCTAGCTGGAGGTGAGATCGAGCCATGTCCTAAAGGATGGATATGGTGTATTTTATAACTATTGTTGTTTATGACTGTGCTTTTGATGAGTCCAGCAGCTGCCTTAAACACTTCACATGCATTGTCTCATTTAATCCTTGGGACAAAGGAGAAAGGTACTGGTTCCCAGAGTCTTACAGATGAGCAGACTGAATGAAGCTCAGGGAGGTTAAGTAACATGGCCAAAAATCACAAAGCTTTTAAAGTGGGAGAGCTGTGATATAAAACTCAACTGATTGTGCTCAATACTCAACTTCTGCATAAATGTTTCTGTATGTAAATCTTTTGCACATATCTGATCATTTTCTTAGGATAAATTCCTCGTTGGGAACTTGCTGGGTCAAAATGTACAAACATTTGAAAAGCTTGACCAAATTGCTCTCCAGGAAGACCATGTCATTTTTCCATTCCTGAGCACAGAGTAGAGAGTGACGGCTTCCTGCATGATGGGTAGAATTGCAACAATCAAACAGGTTTGGAATTCAGACTGGTGATGGCATGTTTATGAGTGAAAAGTCACCCTCCTCACTGAGGGAACTGATTCATCATGGAAAGGAGAATAAACTAGCATTGGATCTGTCCTGGGTGATTCAGGGTTCTAAATTCCAAGATCTTTATCTGTATCATGCCCACAGTGGGGTTTTGCGGGGGAGGTGGGATAGATTAGGGCAAGGATTGAAGAAGACTCAGCAGGTTCTTCAGCATGAACTGAAAAGAATGTGAAAATGGAGAACCTGGGAGAAAGGCAAGGGACTTGTCTGGGTGGAAGAAATGGAAGAGATCTTCCAGAAGGAATTTTCCAGGGATTAGAGACAGAAGGACCTCCACTGGTATACGGAATTTTACTTTTTAAAAAGTGTACCATATTTAGTCTTTCTTTAAATATTTTGCAGAAGAGTTCTAAAATAGTAGTTAGAAACTTATTTTAAAGAAAAGCAAAAAACCTGAGAAAAAAATTTATCTATAGCATACTACAGGAGTCAAGCATATATAGCTTTACCTAGAATCACTTTTTGTCACAATGCTCCACATTAGCTACTTGTTACCCTATGGAATTATACTACTTATGTGTCTACTTCCATCTCTCCTTCCACCTCTGTCTAACACATACTGGAATGTAAGCTTCAGGAGAGTAGAGACTTTTTGTTGCGTTTACTGTTCATCCTCAAATATTAGAAAAATGTCTGGCAAAAAAATGTGCTGAATTAATGAATAAACATTTTATTCAAAGTATTCTGAGTTATTCATAATAAAACCTCATTTCTTTAGGCTGATACAGATGCTGAGGATACAGCAGTGCATATGAACAGATTTTGAGATACCATCATACATTTTCCTTCCTTACAATCTCTCTTCATTATGTTGGAGATAAAATATGCAGGGTTAGTTTATTTTTTAAATCTGAATTTAGTGGTACAAATCCAGACTTGCCTACACAACTGGAAAAAGGCCACTGTTCAGCTAAGACAGAATTTTAAATAAACATGACTTTTCTATTATAATACCAAATTCATATTGGTCAATTCAGCTGAAAATTACTCATATTGTTAATATAATTGTTAAAATATTGTTAATAAAACAAATTTCCTGCCCATATCCCTTCTTGTGGAAATACAAAACAAGTACAGTATGTTCTTTACTTTTATTGGGAATTCAAAGCAGTACCTGTTAAAATCAGCCTGGGTTCTTCATGAGAAGGAATCAATGTTGATTTTGTGGATTTATATCTGAATTTTTTTTGAAACCCCAGAGTATTATTTTTTAAAAGACTTTATTTATTTACTTGAGAGAGAGAGACAGACAGACAGACAGAAATAGCAACAGAGATGGCAAGAGATAGCATGAGTGGGGAGGAGAGGAAGAAGCAGGCTTCCCTCTGAGCAGGAAGCCCAATATGGAGTTTGATCCCAGGACCCTGACATCATGACCTGGGCCCAAGGCAGGCACTAAACTGAATGAACCACCCAGGAGCTCCAATTCCAGAGTAGTTTAAAGATTTTATTTTTAAGTAATCTCTATACCCAACATGGGGCTCGAATTCAGAACCCTGAGATCGAGAGTCTCATGCTCTACTAAATGAACCTGTCAGGTGACCTGAAACTACAGAGTAGTTGAAAATCAGTGAACTGAAGAAATGATATTTAGGGATGAACTCCATTCCCTACAACCTGTGTTTCTTCTACTTCCCCCTTTTCAACAAACAGAACGCCACAAACATTTAAAGATCTAGTTCACACCTGGTTCTCTCTGGCATTGACCAAGTTTTCTACTCCTTTGTGCTGATCTATGAGGCTGGCTTTTTTCTTTACCTGGCTTTGAGGCAGCACGCCTGAATAAACACGACAGTTCTCATATGAACATGGAATCCTCATTATTCTCTTGCTTCCTCAGTCTTTATTCCAGAAAACACATTACTTGCGTGAATCTGTTCAGGCTAAAAGAGGCATTCTTCATATTTTGTTAATAAGCCTGACAGCTTATTATGTGAAAAAGAAATTGCTTGAGAAAACAAAATTTTGGGTAAATTCAACTGAGTTTCAGTCCCCCTTAGGCCACACATAGTTTCCATTTACTAGGATTAGAGTTGTTTTCTCTTGATCAGCGGAAATGAGGACTCCTCTGTCAAAACAGACCACGAACATATTTCCCTAGCTCTTAGAAACCATCCTGGCTAATTTCTGGTGAATGCGATACACATAGAGGCAAAGACTTCTACGGCTTAAAAATAAAAGAATGCAGTTTGATCTAATTTTGCCCCTTTGATTCATGAATCTGTCATGAGTAAAGTTCCATCTTCAGAGCTATACCTTTTTATGTCTTACTGAGTAGATAAAAAGAGAACTATGGGTCCAACTACATCCACAGCAATGTAATTTTTTATATGGTGGCATAAATATTTTGCTTTTAGGGCCCTCTCTAGAATTGCCGAGTGGAAGATTATGACATGGTTTTCATTACAGGATCTTTCTGTAGACATTATTCAGGATAGATCCTTTTGAAATGAGACACTTAGGAATCTATATGACATCAGTACTTGCCTTTGAAATTAAGGGAGTGAGGGGGGATAGTAATAATGTTTGATTAACAAGTATGTCCTAAAATTGGTGAAAAGGGGCAGAAGTTAATGAATTCTATTTCTTCTCATCAGAATTCCCCCACTTTTTCTTATAGTCAGGAGGTAAACAGCATCATATCTACTTAGGAACAATTTGGGGGAAAACAGGAGCAACTAATATATTTCATTATCCTATTGTCTAACCTGAGGCTTTCTGGAATTAACTTCTTATGACTCTATTTAATGTGATATTCCCATCAGAAATGTTCATAATAGGTGATAGGTAATTTCATTCTCTGTTAGGCAAAAATATCTGGTCACCTAAACAATAAAGTCACTCCACACTTCTTTCAACACGATGGACTAAAAATATATGACAAAATATTTCAGAAATAAAGGAAGGAAAAACACCACTAACCTTTGTTCCTGGTAACCCTGGTAAGCCTGGTTCTCCTTGAGGACCAATGAAACCTGGTTCTCCCTTTAAAAAGGATAGGCATATGAGATTGTTATTCATTTGGCAGTAAATAAAGTTAAACTGATTTACTTTTACCTGGAGTTTGCCCCTTTGATTGTATGCAGCTTTCCTGCTGAGACCCAGCTACTGAGTATCAAAGCCATCAGAATCGGTTTTGGTCAGTGAAAATACTCTTAGCAAAGTTTTGGAGAAACTTGAAAAAGCAAAAGTGACAAAGAAACAAGACCAATGTCTTTACAAAGTTCTTTGGCATCTGTTGTCCTCCATTTCTTATCATTTACCAAATTCAGATCCACTATGTTAGGGTGGATATGGTAGGTGGCCTCTAAGACAGGCCTCAATGGTCCCACCTCCTGAGTATTCACGCCCTTGTGTCATCCGCCTCTGCTAAAGTGTAGATTGGACTGACTTACTCATATCTAATGAACAGACTATATTGGCAGAAGTAATGGGATATCACTTCAGAGACCAAGTTATAAAAAGACTGTGGCTTCCATCTCTGTGGCCCTTTCTTGTTCTCTCTCACTTGGATCACATGCTTTGGGGAAAGCAAGCAGTCATGCTCTGAGCAGCCCCATGGGAAGCCCACATGGTGAGGCCCAAGTTCTGCCCACAACCATGTGTGTGAGCTTGAGAACAGATGTCCACCCCATCAGAGTCTTCAGATGAAACCACAGTCCTGGCTGACAGTTTGACTGCATCCTTGTGGGAGACACTGAGCCAGAGGCCACCATCTGAGTTGTGCTCGAATTCCCTTTCTTCCAAAACTGTGAGGTAATTTTTGTTGTTAGTTTTGGGGGTAATGTGGTAGGCAGCAATAGACAACTGATATATAGGTGTGGCTAGGGAGGAGATTCAGAAATGTTCAGCATGTAAGGAAAAATATCTCTCCTTGCTATACCTCCATAACCTCTTCCCTACTACATGGAGGAAACCCAGTTGTGATATAATAAAATATATACTTATATATATATAAAAAATATATATATATGGTCTTGTTCCTGGTTCCTTGCACAGAGCTTCTAGAACCCTTGGAATTTCCTGAGTGATAAAGAGTAAAAGGAGTAACTTTTGTTATTCACAACAAACCTCTTTCAGATGTACCTGATGGGTTCCTAGATAGCTTCCGGAGGGGAGTGTTAAAGTTGGAACTCCTCTTACCATCCCCAGAGAGGGCAGAGGGGCTGGCAGTTGAGTTCAGTCACCAATGGTTAATGCTTTAATCAATCATGCTTATGTAATGGAACCTCTATAAAAATCTTTAAACAGTAGGGATTGGAGAGCCTCCAAGCTGGTGAACACATCAGGGTGCTGGCAGGATGGGACATCTCAACTCCATGGGGACAGAGGCTCCTGTGCTCGAGACTCTTCAGACCTCACGCTATCTAACTCTTCATCTTAATCTTTTATAATAAACTGTAATGGCATGGCATTTTCCTGAGTTTTGTGAGTTATTGTAGCCAATTTTCCAACTTCAGTGCGGTTGAGGGTGGGTTGGTTGTTAGTACCCTCAAATCTGGAGTCAAGTCAGAAGTGCAGATAACCAGGGGACCCAGTATTTCTGATTGGGGCCTCTAGACCGTCCTTTAGACAGAGGTTGAAAGTGAGGGCAGCTTTGTGGGACTGAGCCCTTAAAACCTGTGAATTCTGATGCCAACCCTAAATAGTTGGTGTCACAATAGGACTGAATTGTAGGACACACAGTTGGTGTCAGAAAACACCCAAGACCAGTGTTGGTATTTTCTCCAGTATCCATAAAGTTTTATTTTCTTTTTAACAATGTGAGCTCAAGTGTAAGAGTCTAACTTCTTGAAATCTATAAAGAAGTTTTAAAGCAAAACTGTGATGGCTCTGTTCCCATACTTACTGCTCCACCCTCCCCCATTTGCATTATTTCTGGAGCAGTTGCTAATGTTATTTAATACGTTTGATTTTTTTTTTTATGTAGTGATATTTCAACATTTGTTTTTTGATACTTAGAGTTGAGCAGGCAGATACAGAGAGGATGTTTTATGACAAGTGTTTAAATGTCATCAAATATTTGGAAACACATTAGTTTTTTAAAATATGCCTCAAAAAACCTTGGGTACTAGGTGGGGAACAAAAGGATATCACTATCACAAAATATATCACATTGATACAGAACTCAAAAATATTTATCTTTATCTCTGATGCTCATGGTACTGGTTTCAGATAAAAAAAAATGTGGAAGCTAAGTAATGCTTTAGGTTTATTGTTTGTGAACTTTTTGAGACTCTATTCTACCTGTTCCCATAATCTTACACATACAGAAAGGAACCTCCAAACAAATAATTTTTGTATGATCCCTTAATGGTCTAAAATGAAAATCAACAAAATTCAGAGAAATCATTGATGACCGTTCTACTTAAAGAGTTTAACTTGTTATTTTAAACAAACAAACAAAAAAATAACATGGAATACATTTATTTACAAGTAAGAGGTTTTTCCCAGTAAAATTTCATATATAAATACATAAATATTCTCTGTCCATCCTCAAGAAAAAAGCTGTAATAAAGTCAATGTGTATCATTAGTAATGACTTACTAACATGAAAATCTAATGTGAGTTAATAGGTTGAAAATTTATAGGTAGAAAAGACTCTTGCATATCTTCAAGTAGAAATAAACTGATCTCACTATTTAGCAAAACAAATAGAACACCATTAAGCATACTAGTTAAAGAGAAGAAAAAAGAGTAAATATTGAAAAAACATTTTTCTTATTCAGGTTAGTGTTTAGTTTATAAAAAGATGAAGCATGCAGTTTCAAAATTCACAAATAAATAAATAAGGTTTTGTGATCTCAGTGGTCAGACAAAAGTGATTTTTCTTCTTTTAATAAAATAGAATATACATTAAACTCTCCTGAGGAAAGTATAGTAAGTTCCTTTAAATAGAATGTTCAGGGGGGAAATTTTTTACTTCCAAATACACAATTAGCCATGCCTTTGACAGTCACGATGATTTTAGCTAATTTTAAAGACTTTTGAGTATGATTAGTTTGACCTTAATTCACTCTAAGAAAGCATCTGCCATATTGATGTATTCATTTCTTATCTCAATTTATTCAAATGGAAAATAGCATACTTAACTTTAAGATCACACTTTTATGTTTATTTAATTACAGAGCTCTCAACCACTTTGGAGACATTTTCTTAATCCTCTCTATACCTTGGCACAGTAGGGAGGAAATAATCATTTGTCTCTTTTCTGTCTCAGGCTGGAAAGAAACTTGTTGAGGTAAACAATGCTTAAATAAGTTTACTCATAGTCTTGAGCTTATCGGGTTGTTTCTTAACTTCCTAAGCTAATTCGAGAAGTTCTCAACCTCTTTCCTTTACTCTTATTAGTATACACAGTAGAAAAAGTTCATTGATAGGGTTTCAGATTCCACATTTCATTTAACACTTAATAAACTACCATTGGTAGAGTTTGGAGTAGTATTGAAGAAGAATATCCATAATTTTATGAAAAGACTATAAAATAATCATCCCTTGTCCAATGACATATCTGTGTGAGGCTGTTTTTCTTCATACACTTCAACTAAAACAACAAATAGTAACAGATTGAATGCCTAAGCAGATATGACAATCCAGCTACCTTCTGTGAAGCCAGACATTAAAGAGATTTGCCAAAAAAAAAAAAAGTATAACAATGCACTGTTCCTGCTAATTTTTGTTTTGTTTTAGAAAATTCAATTATATTTCATAAAAATGTTATTTAATGAACACATAATGATTTTTTAAAATGCCTGTTTTAATTTCTAATAAAGAAACCTCGGTAGATATAATAAGCCTACATAAATGAAAATTCTTTCAATCCTAGTTTTTAAGTGTGTAAAGGAGTTTTGAGGCCAAAATTTTTGAGAACCATTGCTACAAAGGTCCAGAATTGAGTTAAAGCCTGGATTTGCAAATTGAAATCCTGAGGTGCCCAACAACGGAAAATACTACTGTTCTTAAGGGGTGGCTTGGTCAAGACTTATCAGATAATGGGCAAGCAAAGCACTTAATGCTGTCACCAGAATAAAGTAAATAAACAATAACTGTTTGTCATAATTGTTGCCTTTATCTTTCAGTCTCAAAAATGCTGGCTATCATCATAATTACTATGGTTAGTAATAGTATTACAACATCTCTGCAACTAATTGGTGATAAACAAGGTGACTTTTTGTTTCTCTACAATCTATATGGGGCTATACTCAATACCTCTCCAACTTCTTCTGAGAAGTAGTGTTAAAATTTCTCATGTGAATATATCATCATTTCATGAGATGATATGCAGCCGTAAGAGATTTTAGGACTGCAAAAGCAGAAGTATATAAGGTAGAGAAGTGACAGTTGTACTAAGAATGAATTTTTTTCCTGTAAGGACGGAAAAGAAGGAAATGGTCATACCTACTGAATTTCTCTAAGTAAATGTAATCTTTAAAAAAAAAATCTTGCCTCTTTGACAAGGACTGATTAAAAGTTCCAACTTCCTAAAATGTCTAGGAGAAAGGCCATGACAATCTATGGTTTTGTGGCAAAAAAAAAAAAAAAAGAGCAATTGGTGTTTCTACTATAGTCATGATTCTAGTAAAGCAGAATAGAGGAAGGAGAAAAATTTGGTTTAATTTTCTGCTCTTGCCTTGGATGATGTATCTGATTTCTTCCTGAGCTGTTTCATGAGTTTTGTCCTTTGTCTATTCTTTAATGAATTAGCTCCCCACCCATGAGTTTGAAAATCGAGTCTCCATACCAAAACTGTAAAACGTTTCCCTGTGTTAAACTGGTAGAAAAAAATCAATAATAGGGTACCTGTGGTTTTGGCAAGTAGACTGGGATTTGGGTTGGCCGAAGAAATGCTATTTATTTAGCATATAACACAGTGAAGGTCTAGTAGTACGTTGCTGGGAGCTGCAGCCAACAGCAGTCCGCAGTCCTAACTGAAAATCGGACACAAGTTGCTAATTTCAATGGAAGCTTTATGCAGCCAGGGCACA